ACACTTTCCTTCTATTTTGTTAATTTTTTTTACTAATGGGCAATTTGTGGTCTAATTCCTTAAATGTTTTGCAATTTTGTGTAGAAAGCAGAAACTGCTTCCAAGGAGAAAAATAGAGCATCTGCGGTAGCGATCAATGCCGAAATTCGTCGTACAAAGGCTAGGTTGTTGGATGAGGTTTCCAAGTTGCAGAGATTGGCTTTGAAGAAGGTTGGTTCTTTGCTTTCTCAGTTACTTTTAGCATCGGTGCTTTTGTTTTGTTTCCTTTGATGTATGTGTTATTCTGAACTTTTTCATTTGCATTATTTTGGATTTAGGTTGGAATGAGAATTGCATTCAATACACGTCATATCTGTCTTAGCTCTAACTGATTGAATTCGTAAAGTATCGCAATTATGCATTGTGAATAATCTTGCAGCTTGGCACTGTAAACCGTAGATGAAGAGCAAACTGATGATTTACCCAGTTATAAAGATCTAGCAATAAAATGTTATCTGAAAAGACCATTTATTTGTGCCTCTTTGGTAGAATTGATTTTGAACCATTGAATGTGAACGAGATGTTTATCTAAATTAATCTGAATCTCATATTTATATTGGAATGCGTGTTTTTATTAAAAAGTGTGAGATTTGATTTTGTAAGTTTAAAACAAACAAAGACTAATCTACTTCAAGAGTTTTATGATAAAATTTGGCAATGAGAAAGAGAAAGTAATGAAGAAAAAAAATCAACTTCTGGTATTACTAGTGCCCAACATCGAGGAATGTGGTAGATTTGTTGTTGATTCTTTGTGTAGTTTTGACTGTTTCAGAAAACTGTCGACTTACATTTATTTGGCATGTATGTTTCCTCAATAGCTTGATTGTCTTTTTGTCACACTTAGTGACTCAGTGGCATGCAATTGTTCAAAATTAATGATGTTATATATTTGTCCAATGCATGGTACAATGTGTTTCCAGGTAAAGGGGCTTTCATCGCAAGAATTTGCTGCCCGTAATGATTTGGTTCTTGCATTGCTGGAGAGGATTCAAGCTATCTCAGATGGGACCCCTGCTGCACCAAAACAACTGGAGGTTGGGCAGCTTCCACTTCACGTCCTGAAATTAAATTTGATTCAGGTAATGAAGTTATCCATGTCTAGTATTGATACAATAATTGTAGTTCATGAATGGGAGACTTTTTAGTTAATGGTCCTCCATCCATTTCTGTGTATCTTATCAATTTTAGATGGGAGATTTGATGATGAATACTTCCGACAAACTGAAGAATCAAGCCAATTCAGGCAGGAGTATGAAATGCGTAAAATGAAACAGGCAAGTAACTTTTAGCCGTTGTAACTCGAGGGAGAGCAAGAGTTTTTGCTATTGTCTTTAGCATGATACATAAGTGTGTGTTGAACGTTGGTTCAGAAATGGCTTCAATCTAATTAAATGAAGTGTTTTTAGGATCAAGGTTTGGATATGATCGCAGAAGGATTGGATACATTGAAAAACATGGCACATGATATGAATGAGGTCAGAGTCCTTGTTGTGTTTGTCTTTCCTCCTCTCTGTGTGCATGTGTGTGGGTTCTTTTCACTTTTTAGTTCATTATTTATGTACCGAATGCAGGAACTGGATAGACAAGTTCCACTGATGGATGACATTGATACTAAGGTGAGAATTATCAATTTCTGCATGTATCCTAAAGCCTGAAAATATAGAATTCAAAGTTTTTGAAACTGGAATTAGGAAGTTGAAATAAATAGGACCCTGTTTTTTCGTTATCTATACAGGTGGACAAGGCATATTCTGACCTTAAAAATACCAATGTTAGACTTAAAGACACAGTGAACCAGGTTTTTTAACTGCACCTCTTAGTCTTAGATTTAGATCAATTTCCAGTTGCATCAGTGATAGATTTATTATTGAATCTTAAACAATTTTCTGTTTTCATCCAGCTTCGGTCCAGTCGAAACTTTTGTATTGATATTGTTTTGTTGATTATAATTTTGGGAATTGCTGCCTATTTGTACAAGTAAGGCTCCTATCTCTTTTCTAGGACTTCAAAAATGTGCTAGTCCCTTCTCTTTTAATATGTGCAAGTATTCATTCTTGTAGTTTTTTTATATTTATTGCTTGGTAAAGTTACTCATAACATCAAAGTACCAAACAACCGCAATATGATTATTTTGGTTACTTTATTTTTAGTATTAGTATTTATTGTTGCTTTTAGAAACAAAATAATTACTGTATCAGTTAGGAAACAAAATAACTACCATAATAATTTTTCTTTAAACTAACATCATCAATTATTGATACTTTAGCAAAATCTTAGCAAAAGCAGTGCAAAGTTAAGCTACCATAGATGAGTCATAACCAGCATTTGAATACGTGCCTGCCATAGAGCATGGGAAACTAGAGCAGAAACTGAAGAAATGGAGAGAAATTTATGCAGGAAATATGTGGGTAATTTAGGAGTTTTGATTAAAAATTTTATTCCCGCTCCATTGGGCATGAGAATGCATCTTTCCCAACCAGTCACGTGGGAATGAAAACCCATTAGGACGTAGGAACCTTTTTTCCTGGGAATAACTTATACCCAGGAATATTTTTTTAAAACTCATACCAAACAAGGAAATCTTAATTCTCTAACCTGTCTTCGTGGCAATGCAGCCTTTACTGTATAATTATTCTCATTATGTTCCTTGCTAGTACAGCCCCTTTTCTTAGTTTATCTTTTTTCTGTGATCCATACCAAGGTATCCTATATCATAATAAAAAAACGTTTTCCCAACTCTATTACAATTCCTTACTTTTTATTTATTTAATTTGGGTGGGGGGATTAGGCATTATTCCTTTGAAGTAGGCTTATATGTTTATCTAAGGCTTTATTTTCTACATCCGAGGGAAGAAGCCCAAAGTTATACCTAGGTGCATTGATTATATATTTTTGTTGATAAATAGTTTTCTAAACAAAATTGATGGATCTAGTAAATAATAATAGTGTACCTTATACTTGTGTATTTGTTTCATTTTCCGCTGCTTTTGTAATAAATTTCTGAATTCTGAGAAATTAGTAATGATAATATGGGAGGGAGCGTATACTTTGATTTGTTACCTTTACGAGGATGTCTGTATTTTCGACATGTTCCCTTATATTCTCTCAAATATAAAAATAAGAACTACAGTATGAATCAATTTTTATATGCAATGTTGTTGAAATATATAGTGTCCTGTCTATACTAATATGAATATTATCATCAATTTGAAGCATTGTTATCTGAAATCTTCAAATTTTAAGGTGGTTGCTTCTAGTTTCTTTCCTGATAGCATCGGTGAGATCTTTAATGTCGTAGTACATGTTTGAGATGGTGTTTTTACGTGTTTCCTTTTGCTTCTTGAGACAGCTTTTCTGACTTGCTGTGCTTTTATTGCAGCATGCTAAAGAAATGATACTGCATACAAGACCATTGGATCAATTTGTATGGCTTATCTGTATTTCTTGTATTTTCTTGGGAATACCGTATCTTATTTTTTATAAAGAAAATATTTGGACTTGTTCCTTCCACTTGAGAGATCCATTTGTCCTTTATAAACATACGCTCTATACCGTTGTACTACGTCAAACCCTGCGAATGTATTTTAGGAATGTATTGACACTGAATCTGGTTCTTATTTGCCCATCAGCCCCATCTCTAAATTAAAATACTTTGCAAAACTTGCTAATTTAGTGTTCGCCTAGAAGGTATCTCAATTTATTATTATACAAGCAATCCATTTTACAAGTAATTTATTTTCATTTGGAAAGGAATATAGAAGGGTTTCCGGAGGTGGAATCGATTAGAAATTGGCTAGCTAAAATCACGAGGAAAATAAAAAAGAAAAATCGGTGGTTACTAAATTTATGGAGAATTCTTAAGCCATTAGAAGAGGTATTTCAAAATACCTCTTTTTTTACCAATTAAAAACTCAATTTTAATTAATTATTAGACATACGACTATCTACTATAGAAAATGTAGCCATGCCTTATTTACTCCAAACTTGTCCTCTTAAACTACATAATCGATTAAGTTTGCAGGGACGCGTGGTTAGGTAAATTATACTTCATATTTCTTATCAGACTCCTAAGCAGAGACAAAGGTTACGATCAACTCCAAGGCATTGTTTGAACTGTGTTAATTTACTGAGTATAGATAACAGAGTTCTGCTAACCAATGTTCTAAAGAATTAATCGATAAAAAAATTTGATTAAAAATAATGGAAGGAATGCATTATTACCCTTTTTAGTAAAATTTATTTAAGGGAACGTTTGACTATATAATATTCTCAAATCCAAGACCTATATTTAAGCAAAAATGATTTTTAGAAAAAATTTTAGGGATAAAGTTTTTGTTGTCTTCTTTACACTTTGGGCGGTATAGAAAATATAAAGAATAAATAAAAGATAAAAAGATAATTGTATATGATGTTCATTTTTATTCGTTTAAATAACAAAGTTGTTCACAAAGACACGTTACATTGCCAGTTTGATTCGGTTAGCTTAAAGTTAACGACAAATATGCAAATAGTATTTTTCTAATCGTTAGTTCATTTTTAGTGGAGTGGATTTTCAGTATTTACAAATAACGTTTTTATGAGTCATGAAAAATTGAAAGAACTTGCAATAAATACTTCAATACCCATTAATAACTTCAAAGTATAATACTATTACCAACTAGTTGCATTATGATGGCACTTTATTCTTTAAGCTATTTCATATGTCTATCACCTTTTTTCACTACACAGCTAAAATATAATATCCAGTAACGAAGTATAACATAAGACTACTTTTTCAGCTATGTACATTGTTGCTTGTTTCTGAAAAGAATAATAACATTGCACAAACATATAATCAATGTCATTCTTTCTTATTTACATATAGAATATTAGAATTCGCTGTCCATTCATCCCATGCAGAAAGAACTCCACAGATTCTACATATATGCACACAAACAAGCTTGTACATGCACCTGAACTACTCATGTATATCCCATAAAGGCTAAGCTATTAAACTCTTGGGGTTCTTTAATGGAACTCCACTGGTCAAAGTTATTGAAATTGTAGCCTTTTCTTCCCTCTATCTCAATTCTTTGCTTCCCATCATCAACTTCTTTGCTTAGTTTGAGGGGAGCATACAAGTCCAACTCATTTTCTTCAGTGGCTTTTCTCTTCTGCGGACTAAACAAGCCTTCAGCCAAAGGTGCCAGGGCTCCTATTATGTTAAAATTATCTTCATGCAATGATGCATATGCTTTTACATCATCAATACAATCGAAGTCTGAGCTCGAGGCCATACTAATGGAATTAGGCATAGCACTCTTAGAAGCCAGAATATAAGGTAACATTGGGAATTCATTGTGCACGGTGTTTTTGACTTGTTCAGGGTTAGAGTTCTGATTCATTTGTAGAAACTGACTGGTTGGTTCATAAATAAGGTCATTTGAATCTTCCCAAATGCTTCTTGAGTAGCTAGATTTTTGCCGAACCCGGCATAGCACCCACTCATCAAGCTGAAGCACAAGGAGAAAGACAAAAACAAGAAATTGTCAAAACTTCATACTATCCACTATAGTTATAAATAAAAGTCACCAAAATTTTTAGAAGAAAAATTGAACTCATGCAATTGACCTACTCTCATGGACCCTTTTTGCTTCGAATTTGAGATCATTGAATCATGCAATCTGTACTCATGCATGATCCAATCAGTTTTAGATCCTTTTGGTGGACGACCCTTATAGAACACAAGGGCCTTCTTAACTCCAATGCTCTTTATTATCCCACAAGAAGTGAAAATGGGTTTGTCAGTTCCAGTCGCCTTCCAATAACCTGAACCAGCTGCTCTATTGGGCCTCACTCCATTGGGATATTTTCTGTCCCTAGGAGTAAAGAAGTACCATTCATCATCCTCTCCAAACAAAGCTTTGCCTGTTGAAGATCAAAAGTTATCATTCCTTTAATAACTGTAAATCCCGTCACAGAAAAACAATGAAAACAAAAAACTAATAAATCAAAGCAATTGCTAACACAGACTTGGGAGCTCCCATGGATTATACTTGTAAAGGTCTATTTCTGCTATGAATGAAGCAGGAAGGGGTGATGAAGTCACTTTTTTTCTCAGATAGTGAACAATTAGTTCCTCATCAGAAGGGTGGAATCTAAATCCAGGAGGGAGTTGGATTTCTGAATTAGGATATTTGTCCATGAACACGAAGGTAATAAGATGCCTACGGAGGAACCTAGGAATATGTATCAATCAGTTGCCGATATTATCAATCAAAATGGTAGTAAGCTTTAAACCACTGTGCATGAGTTATATATATATATATATACAATTATACATATGCTGCATGATTGGTCATGCAGAGAGGGACAATAATCCGGCAATATAATACTAGGTAGGTGTGGGAAAAGAGACTATGAAAGCAACCCTTTTGTCCCATGTTCTATGACCAACATTCTTCAAAGGGTATACCATATAATTTCATCAGCATTGTTACTTTGCAATTTAGACAAAAGATTGAGTCCTGTGGTCACCAAAGTCAGGTTGAATCACAGGATACAGCTTGGTTTGAACTTTGAAGCTTCAACGGGAAAGTTTCGTCGATTTTTCCTCATTAAATTATTCAATATTTCTAAATTAAATTGCTTATCCGCCTCAAGTTGCATGCAATTTAGTTTAAATTCAATATTAAAATATATGCTGGTGGTTCACAAGTTCTGATGCTTGTGTACTGTCAGGGGAAAATACATCCCTTAGATGGCGCAGAGCTCATCACTTTAGCAAGATAGCGTGGCTTCCTAACCTATATCTAGTTCAAATTTTCTTAAGGACAAAACTTAGGTGGAATATACTTTTCTCGGTCAAGATTGAAGATTCATATTAGTAATCTATACAATAAAGGTCTGCACACGTTATCGAGATGAAACTTCAATTATAATTGGAGAATATTATCAACTGCTTTAATTGTGATTTATGAGTTGGTACTAAAATTAAGGAGTAACATCAGCTGATGTAACTATAATTATCTGGCTATACTTGGTTTTAATGAGACTAGATAATTACAATTACGTGTATTCAATCAGAAAACAGTTATATATAATTAGTGGAGCAACATGTGAGAAATTGTTGCAACAGATCACTGGGGCATGGCCTAATTCAAGTCTCAATTCGCTTAGAGTAATTTTTTCACCAGAGGCCACAACTCTGCTGATAAATTTGTAACTTGTTGCGAAAACATGTAAAATTAACTGTTGTTAGTCCACATATGTATAACTCTCGTCAACCTGCACTTGGGTAAGATTAGTCGTTTATAATACGAGTGGCACAAGCATTGCCCAATTTGCTATATAGCATTTTCTTGCAGCATAGTGAAGGGTATCTCTGGAGGTTCTTCTAAGGTATATAGCTTAATATTTAACAACTTCATAATCTGTTGTGCTTATTATTATTATTATTATTATACACGTGTGTATACATACTTTTATCATTTTCATACCAAAAAGCTTTTTCGTTAAACATAATATTGATAATAGGGTTTAATTTTTGCAATTTTCGTTTTTTTTTTCTTTCTATCAAACTTTCGAATAGCAGATTTTTAAGGTACATTTATTCGTAACATAAAATAAATGTTCTGTCCCTTCATATTTATGAAAATTTACTCAGAATTATAGCGAAACTCCATTTTAATGGCTGCAAAATTTAATCTCAGAATGAGCTTCATCTATTGGAAACCGGCCATTCTTGTTACTATAACATTAACATGATGCATTAAAATTAACGAAAGTTAATCTAAGTGGTAAGCAGCTCAATATCACTTAATAAAGTTTCAAATTCAAATTTTTGTAAATGTAAAAAATTTTCAGACAAACTCACCACCCTACATGACTTAAAATAAAAATTTTAACATATCACTTAAAATTATATATATTTAATATAAAAATTTTCTAACTAAAATTTTAAAATATTTTAAGAATATATTTTTTATTATTTTAATCTATAAATTTAATCTATCTAAACACAACCTTGTACTTGAAGAATAAGGGTAAGCACTCTAAAATAAAAAGTAAATAAATTTTATATATTAATTAAATTCATGATAATAATAATAATAATATTTTTTAAAAATATTAAATGAAAAGTAACAATAAAAGTTTTCATAGAATAATAAAAATGATTTTATTAATATCAATTCTTAATAATTTCAAGCATTTATAACTAATAATTTTTTATTAAAAAAAGTTATATTTATTATATTTTTATATACTCAGTATAATAAACATATTCTTTCATAATAAAAATTTGTCACTTAACTTAATTTTAAAAATTGAGGTTAACATAATTTTTATTGTATAGACTTCAACATTTTTACTTAGCAACAAAAACAGTGTACTTTTAAAAAGCTTTAAATATAATTTGCCAAGGTGCATTTGGATAGACAAATTAATTAAAAGTTATTTGAATAAAATTTTATATTATAATAAGTTAAAAATAGCTATAAGAATCATGAATTACTTTAAAAATTCTTTATAAACTCTTGCTAGGTTACATCAGAAAATAATAATAGAGCATAAGGGAGAAAGATGCTTGCATTTGGCGTCATTCGCAGCGTACCAATACCAAATGGTCCAATTGCACAAAACTCTAAGAAGTAGAACGCTGAATAAGCATAATAAGACCAACTTGATTCTGTAATTTGGCATCTTCTTCTTGGAACTAATCAATTCAATTCAATGTCTCAATTTTTGTTCTCCCCTTAATAGACACCCTTTTTGACGTTCTCTATTGATGAACCATTAGTCCATCAAAAAACCTCACTCCTCAGTCTTTGAATTTTTTTTTTCCTTTTTTTCTTTTGGGAAATAACTTGTATATAAAATTCAGTACTATAGGAAATGTGATTTTCAGTTTATGGAAATGTTACAAATACGTCTAGTGTATCGTGCGTTTGTGAAATAGGAATTTGAAAATTTATTTCAATTTGTTTACCTGAGGGGTATAAATGTTCAAACCGAGGCTTACGATTTGTCTTGTATATAATGTATGGCCTCTAAAACTACGCAAGGTTTGAACTTATATACGCAACACTATACATAAACTATTTCCTGTTTTGTCTTTGCGTATAACGTTTGCCGTGTTCATTATAGCTGACCACTTCCTCTATGATTTTGATATTGTTTGCCTTAAGATTAAGTTTTCGATTTCGAAAAATAGCTGCTAATTCCAAATATGAGAAAATGATAAATTGTTTTGAAGTTCCAACTAAAAGCTTCGATTTGAAGCCTTAAACTGAAAATTAGATTTGATAGAACTGAAGAAGACATCAATATGGTTATTACTCTTCAAATTAAATTCAAGTTAGGTTTAAATATAATCATGTCAGTACTTTAGTTCACAATAATTTTCTCATTTCGATATTTTTATTGGATTGTCACTCTCATACCTTAATTAAACAACTTTTTACTCTATTTATTACTTACTTTAAAAATATATCATTACTTTTCTTTTCTATCGCCCGTAGAGCCGATAAAATAATTTCACATGATAAGTTAATTCTAATATATTACAAAATAAGGACTTAAACATTAAATTTAAAATTTAATAAATTTGGACATTTTAATCATGATACCCACGGTTTATTGCATTGTTATTTTTTCTCATGGAAAAGTAAAAAACATTATGTTTAAATGTCATATTGTTTTATTCAAAGGATAAAGACCGTCTAATGGATCATTAATTAGTAAATCTATCAAGGATTCTTTGAAGGTATAAATTATAAATATATTTACCAATGAGTTCAAGCTATTGAAAGTAAAAAAATTAATAATAATATTAGTATGCACAAGAATTATTTTAAAAATCAAGTAGAAAGTAGCCAGGTTATTCTTGAACAATGTTAAAATAGAAGTGCTAAATAAGAAAAAAATTGCATAAAGTAACAGAAAAAATACATAACTTTCTAAAAAGATGGTTTTGTTTTACAATAATAGCAATGCACAACATATATTTTCATTTGATGCAACTTCATGTGATAGCATGCATTTGTTTAAATAGTCTCTTAAAAGCTCGATAAATAAAAAAGTTGTAAGAAAATATCATAACAGGAAAAACCTTCAGTTACCCAGTAAAATATTTGCTCGTTTACTCATATACTTTCTGTAACATTTTTAACACTTTATTCATTTTGTATGTAAGCTTCTCTTTGAAGTTATTTCTATACTTAGTTGTTTATATTAATCTAAATCCAGGAGGGAGTTGTTTATTTCTGTAAAAATTAATTAAGCCTTGAAGCTCGAGAGATTTCGTATAAAAAATAATACACAATTTTTTTATGGTGTATCTATTTTCATATAGTGAAAAATTGTGTTCTTAATGACATGAATTTTGAACATAATTTTTTATGGTTAAGAGCCGATTAAATATAAATAAAAATTTCTCTTCTTTTATCTTCCTTTAAAAAAGTAATTATAGAAATAAAAAATTATTGCATATTAGTTTTTAGCAAATATTTTTAACATTGCATATTAAAAATATAAATATTTTTTAGTCATTAATTCAATACTTGAGGCTCGAAACTTTCTATTCTAATGTTTTGATAATTTCACGCGTCGAAACGTTGTTAATAATCTTCCTTTAGTTCCAATGTGTCTTCTTTCTTTCCTTTTTTGGCAAATAGAATTACATCTTCATTAAAAACATTATATAACATTTGTTAAGATATACCTCGATCTCGAAAAATAATATTCAATCACATAAATAAATCAAGCACAGCATACATTAAGAATTGTTTTGAGAGATGGCCTACGAATTACGTGATGATGCGCATTTTTTTTTAATTTAGATAATTTTTAGGATTTTTTTTAACTTCAGTCCTTAAAATTAAATTTAAGCATTTAAAAGAATTTTTTATTAAAAAAAATTACATTTATTGTAATAAAGTTATAAGTGTGTGATAAATACTTATATATTAAAAGTTTACTACTTCTATATATTTAAATTCAATTTTAAAGTTGAGTTTAACATTTTTAAATTTTTTATAGTTGTAATTATAGATCTTTAAGATGTTCAAACCACCTTATCATTAATGATTTCTATAAAATGGCCGGTTTAGTTCAAGGAGAAATTAAATCAAACTTAACATATAAAATAACCAAGGATGTCACTTGTGAATACATTCATGCATGCATGCTCTCTAATGTATGTAGTTTCCTATGCTAATAGGATTTCTACCATCAGAAAATTCTTGTACAACACAGAACCATTGGGGTCTTTGAAAATTTTGCACTATAACGCGTTTTAGGATAACAAGACGTTATATTGACTGGAAAAATTGAAAACTAGATCTCTCTCTCTCTCTCTCTCTCTCTCTCTCTCTCTATATATATATATATATATATATATATATATATATATATATATATATATATATATATATATATATATATGTTGGGGAGGGAGCATAGGATACCAATTATAGGGATGAGGAAAGATACAATATCGATTGGATGAAAAGCTCCAAATACATGAAGCCAAAAGTTGTTGAATTGGCTAATATTATTATAGGAAACAAGTTTCATTTTCCTCTTTAATTATGCTATCCTCTTTCTTCTTCTTTTTCCCATTTAACTATAATGTAAGATGCAGTTTATGAATATAATGTCGTTGGACTCCAAGGACACAAAATTAAACTGGATTAAATATATATGGTAAATTAATGGCACCAAATGTCTAAATAAAAAAATTGTTTAAAAAATTATACATCTCATGTGATATTTAATTTAGCTCAATAAATTTTTGTTTAAACTTTTTAACCAATGTTCTAAGAGCACATATTAGCAAGATCTATGTATATATGGAATTAACCTTTGAACTTCTTTTAAGCATTTGGATTTAAAGATGAGCTCCAATAAGAAAGGATGGTCCTCCTATAACTGTGTCGTAGGTAAAGGTAAAGGGTCACCCTTTCTCCCATCTACTCCATTGCAGTGAAAGTCAACCAATTCATATATATATTTAAGGACCAAATCGATGAGGATGAGCGTATCATCTATAGACAATCATTTACAGAAGAAAATTAAACATCTTTTTGCGACACTTGGTGCTCTATGGAATAGTAGTCATCACATTAACCCCAATGCAGTGGTTAGTTGAGGTGGAAAGTATAAAAGATCAATGTTGTTACTTGCCATGGCAAAAGTTGTTCATATGAGCACATTATCTAGGGTTGTTGGAAATTGACAAAAAAAAAAAATGTTATTACGAGGGATCAGAATGCATAATTATTTTTCAAGTAATATTTAATTAATCCGGAATTACTCATATATATATATACACACACACACCCCCAAGTTTGATAGATTATAAAAGCTTTTTCTCTGAAAAAAGAAGAAGAAAGATTGCATAATAATTATTAGAAATAGAGTAACGAGATTTAGAATATCTCTTTGAATTGAATTCAATCAATTGCGCATGACATGATGAAGAATTTTAGCGGAACAGAAGAAAGAGAAAAGAAAGACCAGAATATGAATACTCGAAATCACAACTCACAAGGGTCAATAAAATTATGGTTTAGTGGATGATCTAGTTATCATCAATTATTAAGAGTGTGACCGTGAGGTAAAATGTCTTATCACTCTTGTAATCCTCATATCTATTCTTAAATTAATGTTCAGTTGGGAACTAAGATTCAACTCTAGTACACATACACACACAGACATTGTTAACAACTTTATACTTTTTCTATGTTTAAAATTTTGTATAAAATTTAAGAAAAAAAGAGAGAATAGTAATGCATTATAAATTGATCATTTGAAGTAATTAATTAACATTACACACACGTAGACATCAGTTCACAATCAAATGTCCCTTATGTAGACGCTGATGAAAAGAACTAGGCAGTGGCAGAGCAGCTAACTAAACTTTATAATGTAACGTCGTCGTCGTGGTGACCAAATAATAGGAGCATATTCCCAGACATGTTTGGTGTCAGTTTAACTTAATTGTACATAACTGTATACACGTACGTACGTATGATCGTACTTACTATAGTAGTAAAAAGTAACAACAACGTAACTAATAGCTAGAGCGTTGTGCCACATTCCACAACATTTTATTGACTTTCATGTATGTTGAAGTGCTCTTAACCAAATTACCTCGATCGTCATCACAACCATGGCCTTGTATGAAAATTGATAAATTTACACTCTACTTGAAATATGAAACGAAGATAAAATAAAAAATAAATTATGATAAGAAATGCAATGTGACAGAGAAAATAAAAGCATTATAAAAATGTATAAATAGAGTCAATATAATATATAATAGGTATTAAAATTAGATGGTTACGTCTGTTAATATCTTTTTATAAAGTATTAAATAAATCAATCTAATTATTAAATTATTTTATATTATGTTTATGATTATATATTTTGAATTTTACAAGATTTTAATATGATTAATTTTATTTTTATATAAAAATTTATAAATTTGAATTACGTAATAAATTTTTTTAAACTAATCATTTTCAAACAATTTTATATTTTATAAAAAATTATTAAATAATATAAATATTTAAATTTCACACTCAATATAATGAATCTAACTTATATAAATATTATTGAAACACTTTATCTTTAAACAAACTAATTAATGCTTTCTTTTCTTTTAAATGTGATAAGTTAGTCATTTAGTAGCTATAAAAATTAATGAATTACAATATTTATATTAGGTCGCTTCGAAATGTTGGCTTAAAGTTTCAACTTTTTGAACACGACCTTGATTATAATGGAAAAATATGTATTTAAATTTCATTATATTCATAAAAAGTTTTACATATTTGTAGGTCATAATTTTGATTTTGTTAAAATAAAAATAAAAGAAATGACTTTTTTTTCTCTTTGTCAGCATAAAATTATTGTGAAAACGAATAGTAAAAAACATTTATAGGAGAAAAGAATGGACAGGTGACACTTTTAGAGATGCAGGACGGTGCAGAGGGGACCCAAAGGTTGAATTTAGTGGAGCCCAGAGGAGTGACAGAGTATCACGGACGGTCCTATGAGGATGCATCGGGAAAAGAGAACCCCAGCCATTGTCCATTGTCCCACACAACATTGCATTGACGTTAGAGTCTCTCGCATGCTAAAAAGGAGTTACCACCCCTCACTGTAATTATGCCCTAATCATTCAGTATCAGCTAAAGCCTCTCATAAAAGCTAAGTAACTTTTCCGTTACCCTCTTCCTCACGAACCCCAGGCCCTATCATCCTTTTAACCATTATTTTTTCCCTACGTGCCCAACCTTTTAACATAGGCTACGATATTTTTCATATATATTATTTATGTTTTTCCATTCCATTTCATTTTTTTGCTCTTTTTATTTCTATTTTTTCTAAATTGGGATTACAATTATGCAATTTTTTTTTTAAATATGTAGAACAGTAATATTCATCTCTCCACGTAAATATAGTGGTTTTTTTTTTCATGTGTATTAGACATTTCTTGAAATATGACATACTAATTAACATAACCTGTTACACATCCAAATTTTTGGTTTATTAGACAAAAGGTAGAAGAAATGTAGCTCATGACTCTCGAACACATGCAGATACGTTCTTCTGCGAATGTGCTTGCGGTTTGTTTCTGCTTTGAGAAATTTCTGGTCTGTTTGTGTGACTGAAAATGAGAGTTTGTGTATACCTGGTGATGGCCCAGTAATTGAACAGTTCAATTGTTTAAACTTTAAAAAGTTAAGATATTGTTTATAATTATATATATATATATATTTACATTTTTTTATCTCTTTTATAAACACATCTCAAAAATATATTCTAAACTTAAATTGAAACACATTTTTCCTCATTAAAATTTATGGGTGACTGTTACTTTGAGGATGACAGTAATAAGATTTCGAGAAAGAGAGTACGCTTAAGACCAAAGACAGAAATTAAGAGCAAGTGAAAGGAGAGAGAGAGAGAGAGAGAGAGAGGAAGAGGCCAGATAAAAATGTTTTGTGAACCTTTGTATTTGAACTTTAATACATGTGTGTATATGTAAAAAAAGTAAAAAATAAGAGATAAGAAGTGAATATAATAATATTTAATGTTACATGCCATGTTATGATTGTATTTGCTGTTGGTTTTATCTTTCATATATTAATGAAATGAAAACAAGGAACCAGACGACCCAGCTGGAAGCTCTTGCACACAAGTATATAGTTTACTATATATATACTTATTTTTTAGGGGTTAAACATTTTTTATTCTATTCAAAGTTTCGTCCATGGCTTTTTCTTGTCTTTGGCAGAACAACCACATATAGCCACCCACTCTCTCTTACAGAATATGTGTACCCTCCAAAATAACTTATGTTAAATTCCTTGGCTTTAGCTATCCTCAAACCCTTTGTTTTCTTGCTTGTACTATCTGATACCTTTGAAAGTTAGCTGTTTGCTTCTACTTTGCAAGAAGCAGACCATTCCAATATAGTTTACTCCCATTTTTTCTAATATGCAAACGATGCCCGATGACCCCTTTTCACTATCCACTTCCATCGTAGGAATTGCCATAGAGCAAAACACAAACCCTAACCCTAATCCCCTTCCTGCTGCCACTAAGAAGAAAAGAAATCTACCAGGAACACCAGGTAATTAATACTACTTAAAATTTAAAACCAATCTTCTCAATAAATTGATTTTCACAATTTTTGAGTGGGTTTTAATTTACTTTGAGCTTGGATTGGAATATATATTGGATTATATATACAGATCCAGATGCTGAGGTCATTGCTCTTTCTCCAAAGACTCTCATGGCGACGAACCGTTTCATCTGTGAAATATGCAACAAAGGCTTCCAAAGGGACCAGAACCTTCAGCTTCACAGAAGGGGTCACAACCTTCCATGGAAGCTACGACAAAGGTCCAACAAAGAGGTTCGAAAGAAGGTATATATATGTCCAGAGAAGACGTGCGTCCACCATGACGCTGCAAGGGCACTCGGCGACCTCACCGGAATAAAGAAGCATTACAGCAGAAAGCACGGTGAGAAGAAGTGGAAGTGTGAAAAGTGCTCCAAGAAATACGCAGTTCAATCTGATTGGAAAGCTCACACCAAAACTTGTGGCACTAGAGAATATAAGTGTGATTGTGGTACCCTCTTCTCCAGGTAAATTAATCGACACAATTTTTTTTTCTAAAATAGGAACGAATTAGAGTTCTCATGTTAATTTTTACATGATTTTGTCACGTCAAAATTTTATGTAGACATTACTTAATTTTTAGTGACAAGATTATGTAAAAATTGGACGTGAGAGTGAGAGGATTAATTCGTCCTTATTTGTTTTTACAATATTAGTTTTTTGTTGTGGATGAGAAATGCTTGCATAAGTGCAGGGTTTTTATGTTTAGAATTTAATGCGTATTGATTGTGTAAATAGTCTAAATAATTAGGTAATGAATGGGGATTTTCATTGAACTTTGCACACAGGAAGGACAGCTTTATAACTCACAGGGCTTTCTGCGATGCTTTAGCTGAAGAGAGTGCGAGACTCACGTCAGTTACTACGACAAATATAAATTTTAAGAACGAAGATGGAACCGTGATGAATGCACAGCATGGTTTGTCATCACGTGGATTAATCACTGGCCTTGGAATGCAAAATGTTCCACAATTTGGTCCACACGGGTTTCGTATAATGGGCATGAGTGCAGGTCAACAAAGGCCAAACTTGTCACTATGGTTGAACCAAGGAAATCCTCAACCACTTGATGTGTCACTATCATCATCATGTTCTTCAGGTTTTCCTGATGTTGTGCAAATGGCACAAGCTAACAATGCCTTAGTTGGTTCTTCTTCAATATTCTCCAATTTTGGAATGCATGCTTCCAATTCTTCTAATCCAAACCTTTCCTTGTCGCCACTAACGAAAAAGGGTGAAGGTGGAGCTTTAGATTTGGCATCTATGTATTCTGAGAGTCAAAGCAATACTTCAAATTCAACTTCACCAATGTCAGCCACTGCCCTTTTGCAGAAGGCAGCACAAATGGGATCCACCAGAAGCAGCACCAACCCTTCGATTTTCAGTAGTAGTTTTGGAGTAATGAGCTCATCCTCCACCCAAACAACTAGTCTCAATAGCAATGCAAAACAAAGCTGTGATGAACTTAACCAAGCCTTTCAGAATATGAAGCAACATGAGAATAACTTCAATGCAATAAGCAATGCAACTATGCTGGGTAGTTGTACTAACTTTAACTCATTGACGCATTCATCAAACGGTCTTGATCAGTTCCTGATGCAAACCACCAATGTGGAACCAAGTGAGGCTATGAAGTTGAAACTCCACCATGGTTCAAACATCGTGGAACATAACTTGACAAGAGATTTTCTTGGCATGGATGTAGGTGGACATGCATTCCTACCCCAAGAGCTTGCAAAGTTTGCTTCATTAGGCTCTTCAATGGGTTTGAACCAATTCACTCATCAATGAAGTCCTTTCAAAGTATAACTGTTTTGAAAATTTGTAAAATAAGATCAAATTATTAGGATGGAGTTTTCTTGGTGCATCTCTTCTCTTCAGAGATGATTTTTTGCGTTGTGAGAGGTTGGGAGAATAGTGGGACCCACTGCATGTTTGAGATGAAAGAAGGAACAGCGAATTCCCCGAGCAGTGCATGTTCTCGTAGTAGTAGTTGTTGTTGGTTTGTCTTCTGTCTTCACCTTGTTATCGTTTGGCTTCTCATCCTTGAGACAAGTGAAAGAAGATATAAAGTATAACAAAAGCAACTCGAAAAAAATTATGAGAACATTAAAAGTATAAAAATAAAAATTATCAATCAATATTCTTAAAAATATTAATTAAATAAATTAAAAGTATTATATACCCTCATCGATTATAACTTTAAATAAAAACTAGTTTTTATTAAATTTTTTATTCCTTAACTCTGCTCAAGACCCAGTAAAAAAATAGAGATATTAGGTACTGTTATTATTGGTAACCCCTGGTCAAAATCCGGTTCCTCGTCAACAATACGTGGTGTGGATTAATTAGAAGGAAGAATAATGTTAATTATATCACAAAAATAAGAGATTTTTATATTTAAGATTTATTTCTAAAACATATATATATTTAAAAATAATCTATAATATTATATACAATGTTAATTTTTACTTGTTAAAATAATCAAACTCGCAAAAAAGCCATTATCAATCCCCGTCTTAACATAACTGATGAGATGGTTGAACAGTTTACATATTGAAAGAAACTATTACTATCATAACAATAGCCAACTTTACACGTTGGATATGTTAGAATAGTAATGATGAAATTAATAATGATGATTAAGGGGAACTTCACATCAGGAAATAAGGAATTTTGTGTTTCTCAAATGGTTGCCTTTTATTTGTAGATATCAAGTGATTCACAGTAGTTTTAAGTAGCCAGAATCTAGATGCTAAGCTAGTTTTTTGATAGACTCTAATTATTATGACCAAATCTTCGGCAAGTGGCTACTGAGGGTTGAACAGTGAAGATTTGTTTGAGCCGTTTGATTTGTCAAATGTCCATGAAAATGTTATTTTAAGGCAAAATTGGGACAACAAAACTTGCCCTTTATATTTAAAAAAATTTAAGTATTAATTAACAAATTTTAAAATACTATTTTACCAAAAAATTATAATAAGGTATTATCTTTATTTTTTTTGGACTCATATTAAAAGATGTTGATTTGGTAAGACTCTGCTTCACTCATTTTCTCTAAATGTATATATTAATTAAGAGATAAAATTATTTATATATATTTTTACGTTTGATGTCAACTTCTTTTATATTTAAATAATAAAACCATCCTAGTAATAAAATTAGAATTAGAATCATGGCTGCTAATATCATTATTTTAGTGGTACGCCTCATCACCAATTGCATATAGGTCAAACTTCTTCATTTTGTGATACACTTAGTAAGCAAAATAATAATATGAGTGTTAAAAAAATGGGTGAAGGAAAGAGAGAGAAAAAAATTATAAAAAAAGGTAAGAGAAAAAATAAAAACAAAAAAGTAATGATGTTATAGAAATGAAATAAAAATTAAAAAAGGGATAAAAAATTAATTGTAAAAATTACAAAAGTTGTTGCATTCAGATGTGTTTGAAAACTATGGCAAATCCTCCCGTAAATCTGAGCATCATTAGCCTACTTCACCAGTTTATGTTGCAAATTAGACAGCCGGCATAACCGTTGGAATAATTAATAGTGTGATTTCCTACTAATGTTTTATTCGGAAAAAAAATGATGATATATATACAGATGTTAATTTAATGAGAATTTACGATGGTATTTGATGAAATACCATTTACAGATAATATTAAATAGAGTGCAGATATAAAATAAAATATTTAAATGCATATATTTATATATGATTTTTTAATATTTAATATTACACAAGTTATACATATTAAGTTGTTATTAAAAATTATAACATTGAATTTTTTTATTATTAAAAATTGTAACTGCGGAAAAAAGGAACCCCTACATTGTTATGTCTTGGTTTTGTGTTAGTGTTCTGAGCCATGGATGGACCCTCATATGTTGTTTTATTAGGGGAAAATATGCATGCATGATTCAACCTCACCCTCACTGATCTACCACCACCAAGGACCTTACAATGTTGTGCTTTTCGATTGTTACAAAACATTGCTGAATTTTCAATGCTTTTTATAAATGATTTTTTTAATATGTACAACTTTGTACAGGATAAATTCTAATAAATACATTACTTAATTAATTTATATTAATTATTTTATTATATATTTTTTAAATATCTTTTACTTTTTTTTATTAGTTAAATAATATATTTATTAAGATTTATTCTGTGCAAATTACACGTTAAAAAACTCCTATATTACAAAAGGTAAAAAGGAAAGAAAGGTTTTTGCATTGAAAATGAATTGAATAGGCAGAGTAGGTTTTGGAAGAGCTTGTAAATATCCAATGGCCAATTGGCAATAAGTGGTTCAATGTCCCCAACTAGGTCTCTGCAAGAGAGATCCTATTCCTATTCCTAACCCCTCAAATAAAAGGCAAAGCATTTTTAATTGCCTAACGGGATTAGTACAACTTTTTATCGGTACTTGTCACGACCAGCTTTTTGAGACTTGAGTCGCTAATTTGTTTGCTCTTTGGTTTCAACTCTCTTCACTAACAATTCTCTATTGTCATTTGTTTATTCTAAGGAGGATTATAATATTTTTAAGTCATTTTTTATTGTGAAATTATAAAAATATATAGTTTTTAATTCCTTGACAATATACCTTTTTAATATTCTAACACTTACAGCCTTTTTCTTTTTTAATTAAAAGCAGAAAACCATAAAGAAATTATTATAAAAGAGAGGTATTTTAGAATACCTCATTTTTCTCTTCTTTCCCTCTTCTTCTCTCTCTCTGCTAGCTTCGAACCGAGGACAGGGTGCTCGAAATCAACGTTCCAAACCAACAAGTCACTCGGGAAACCGGCAATATTCAACTCAATATCTTAATTTTATTGGAATTGTCACAAAACCAGTTCTGCTTCACTTTATAAAGCCCAATTAAAACTGAACCTTAACTAGTTAAACTGCTTTACTTTCTAAATCTTAAATTAAAAGTCAAGCTAGCTCATTACTCAATTATACTTAAAATATTACAATTTACCTTCAAAATGTTGTATTCATAATTCATACTAAATTAATGAGAGGTTAGCTCATGGCCCTTTTTTTAAGTCAAATGCCACCCATTCCTCTGTAATGAAAATAAATAATGCATTGCTTATTTTAAGGGTGCTCAAAAATTGGATTTTAAGTGAAAAATAATCATATAATTATATTAAAAACATAAATTACAACAACAAAAAATACCATCACGATCTGATTGGATGTGATTTGGATTAAATTAGAGTAGATAACTAGTAAATGTGTACATGCATTTTTATTATATTAAATTAAATTATTTTAAAATAAAAATATATATTTTTATTATATTAAATATAATTACACTGCTTTAAATTATATTAAATGTAAAAATTTATTATATTACAACAACAAAAAGTAACGTCAAATCAATCTAATTGAATATGATTTGGATTAAATTATAGTAAATAATTCAAAATTTAAATACATACCTTTAAAATGAACGAGTTGTTAAAATTAAATAAATGTAGCAATATATAGTTCTAAAATTCTTTAAACAAATACTGAATACAAATTTTTAAATATCTGTAGCACGTAAATATCTCAAACAAATGAGATAATAAAAATATATCATGTTTAATTCTTTTATTTTATTATATTTTTACTTAGAAGATAGCAAATAAGTTATTTTGTTATCCTCTCTGTACTATTTTTAATTAAAACTTACTTTTATATAAACATAAAAAAGGAGACACAATACTGACCTTAAATAAATCTACAATGGTTAATTTATAAACAGATTATAATTGTATAAGTACAAGTGATTACTTATTTTTTAATTAAAATTAAAATTATATATAGAAAAAAAGGTGATTTAAATTTAATTTAATTACATTAACTGTTAAAATTAAATTCAAAATTCTTTTTTATCTAATAAAATAACTGCAGGTTTCGTGAGTTTAAATTTTCAATTAGTTCAAATTTAAAATATTTTATTCAGATTTTGTTTTTTACGTGGAATTTAATAGATTGATGAACACTAAACTTTAAACTTTCACATCTCAATACAATTTATTCTTAATTTAAAAAAAATTATAAAAAAATATTTTAATCTAATTGAATGAAAAATGTATTATTTTATACCGTACATTTTATCTTAAATGTATTACTTTCGTGTCGATTTATATTATACTATATAATTTTGTTTTATAATATATATATATATATATATATATATATATATATATTCTAAATATATTGTATGTTTTTAAAAGCTATGAATGAAAGATGCACTAGTTTTAACGTGGTCTCTCTATATATATATATAATTTTTTTGGCATTTTATTTAAATATATTTATTATAGTTAATAAATTTTAGTTATAATTCTTTTATTCTTTATTTTTTCGGAGTTGTTGGTATTTTAATTTTTTAATGTAATCACATAAAAATTAATACATAAGAATTTTGCTAATTAATCATGTCATTATTTAGTCATTATTAAAGATTAATAGCATTAATTTTGAAATATATCTAAGATTAAAGTAAAAACAATACTAAAATTAAAAATTACAAAATGCAAAGAAATTATTATTAACATCATTATTTATATTGTCCCTCCATGAATTTTAATTATAAAATCACGATTAAAATACTTTATAAGTTAAAATTTAAAAAAACATTTATGAATCATCTCCAAAACTTAATAGTAAGAAAATGTATTGTAATTTTGAAAATAATTTACAACAATCTTTCAAAATATATTTTTTAACCGATATAGCATTACTTTGAATAATATAAAGATTGAAATTTGTTTGTTAATTAATTTTAAAAGGATTAAAATAATATATAAATAATTTTCAAAATTTAAAATTTTAAAAATATAATAAATATTTTGCTGTAAATTAAGATTAAAAAATTGCAACTAATAAATACGAATGATGTAAGAAGTAATCTATAAATATAAGACAAAAGTTCATTAAAAAATAATATTGAAACTAATTAAATAAAACTCTAAAAATAAGAAGGTATTGCTTTTTATACTACCTTACAAATTAAAAGAACATAAGATATACTCAAATATAAAATAATTATTATTATTAATTTTATATTATACATATAAATATTTTTAAATTTTTAAAATATAAAAAATTATAATAATTAAATTTAAAAACTAAAATATCTTCTCATATTTACCGTTGACAGTAACAAAATTACCAAATAAAAAATTGTAACTATGACCTTCAAACTGATGATATGGCATTTGAACAGAAATGAAATGACGCGGAAGACTCTTATTAGACAGAGTATTGCACAGGTGGCAGTAGAAGAAGAGGTGAGTTGGCCTAAAATCCACGTGTAAACGGGTCATTGGGGAAACTACGTGGGATGACATGTAGAAAAGCTATTAGGTTTCGTGTCAATGATTCACCTCTTGCACTTAATTTATCATTTTATTCATTTATGAAAATTAGAAAGTGAAATAAATAGTGCAGGTGTTGATTCCGGCGAAGAGTGCCCTCAACTTGTTCCTCTGGGAATGCCATAACAACAAAACAAAAGGATTTGGAACCGCTGAGGAAGATCACAATGTTTAATCCTATCGGTTTTTCGCTGTTGACCATCGATTCGGTGGCGTACAGGGGATTCTTCTACACATTCTTCATACTCAATTTCGTTTTGCTTTGTCAACTCCTTCTCCTTCAACCTCTCGTTTCTGCTTCAGGTACACTTTGATCTGTTTCTATCAATTGGGTTTTGTTTGTTGTTTCTCTACCCATTGTGATTCAATGTTCCTTTTCATTTTTTCCCGTTAAATTTCATAACTTCAATGCTTCGACGGAACTTTATTTTGTAGGGCTTTTTTTATTTTCCCTGAGTTATTATTATTATTTTTTATTTTTTGGGGGTCAAGGTTTAAATTTCGGTTCTTTATACATGGGAATCCTATAATAGCTGTGACAAAAATTTCTGTATTTAGTAGTGAAATAGACATTGCCTTTTAGTCTAATATTTTGTGTTTGTAAAGAAAAGGAGTGCATATGATATGGTAGATTGCTATTGACAAATTGGACACGTTGTTAGGTATTAATTAAATTGATCACTCTTTGCCAAGATATATCAATGTCATTAGTTGGTGGTGGCATGGTTAGTCTATTGGGAATTTTAGAGTGGTAATTTCGTGGGGACTTAGACTATTGTGTACTTTCAGCATTAGAAACTAAAGTAGCATTAACAAGGTATGTTGCTATGTCATTGGATTTGATTGTAACTAAGTAAGTGTTAAGAACCCCAATAACAGAATCTGAGATTTCAGAGAGAGAACTTACAAAACAGAGGAGAGAAAGTGAAAGAATGCATCTGTGATGATAGATCGAATGACAAACAGAGAAGAGTTGAGAATTCTCCTTGCAAGGGTTTCCCCCTTTACAAGGGAGCTCAAGTTCTCCAATATTAACAAATTCAGAATGAATCCTCTTCTACTCCCTCCTGCTATTTAAGCTAACCACCTATGTCCAAGTTCTGTAATGCTCAAGTCCTGACTGTTGCCTGAACAGTCTTTGTTTTGTTTTTGGATGTGATCAGATGGAAAACCTGGAAATGCTGCTGAGTTGTTTGAGAGGGCATCTCAAAGCATAAAAGTGAAGCATTATACCGAGGCACTTGATGATCTAAATGCTGCAATAGAAGCAGACCCAACCCTTTCGAAAGCATACCTTTTCCGAGCATCAGTTCTTCGTCAATTATGCAGGTGTGGTTCATTTGCAATTTTTACCCCTACATCTCCCCTTTTGAATCTCACAGAATATTCCTTGTTAAATGATGGGTTAAGCTTTTTGAAGTTGTTAATAAATAATATAAATTAAGCACATCTTATTTTGACATCCATATTTTACTTCACAAGGACAGGATATACTGTCAAAATGTTGTTTACTAAAGTATATATCCGGTTGAGTATTTCTTTGTGTATTCAAATTGCTTTTAGACTGTGGTCTTTTTTATTTATCCCTGACCAGTTCAAGTCATTTGTTTTTTAAAATTTTTCACTTTTTTTTTGTTGTGTGGGAGATTCTTCTTATCACTAAAGCATTGTGAAAAAAGCCGCAACTGTTCCACCCCCATACCCCCTTGTGTACGCAGATGTAGTTCGTCCTAAAGTTAGTCAGACGTAATGGGAACCCCTATTTTTGAATCTCTTAGTTTCAGAAAGTGACCATCATGTCACTCTTTCCACTCCTCATCTTCTTCCCCCTCATCCCAATTCTCTCAAACTCCTAATTGGAAAGTTATATCATTCAGGTGCTTTTTGGCTAATGTAGATATGAGCAATCTGAGAAGAGCTACAAAAAGTTTCTGGAGTTAAAACATGGAGATTCAGCTGCAGAAAAGGAGCTCTCTCAACTATTGCAGGCTCAAAGTGCCCTAGAAACAGCTCAGTCCCTCTATGATTCAGGAAATTTCACAAAATCTCTGGAATATATTGATAAAGTTGTTCTTGTCTTTTCTCCCGCTTGCACCAAGGTAGCATTTTACACTCTTCCAGTTCCATCAATATCTTCAGTTTTGTGGCTCAGTAGTTACACTATGTAGTCGTAAAGTGAATGCCTAAGCATTGGGTTTGGGTCAGTATTTGGTATGTGCAACCTGCTGTTAACTTTATATTCATTATTTTCTGCAGGCTAAGCTTCTTAAAGTGAAGTTGTTGATAGCTGATAAAGAGTATGAGGTTGCAATTGCTGAGTCTGGTTTTATTCTCAAAGAAGATGAAAATAATTTAGAGGCATTGTTGTTACGTGGTCGTGCATATTACTATTTAGCTGATCATGATGTTGCCACAAGGTTTGTATTGTGAAAATTATGTTAAATTTGTATAGAGTTCTTATAAATTTTTTATATAATCTATGCAAACATATGTTCAGGCATTTCCAGAAAGGTCTCCGCCTAGATCCAGAGCACAGTGAACTAAAAAAAGCATATTTTGGATTGAAAAATCTACTCAAAAAGAGTAAAAGTGTAAGCCCTTATCTATTGTTGAAATTTCTTTTTACATTACCACTCAAGTCTATTTTCCTCTCTTCTTTCTTTTGGGTTTTAAACAATTGTTGCTTTTTGATTTCTACATGAAAGGCTGAAGATAATGCAAGTAAGGGTAAACTACGTCTGGCAGTGGAGGAATTCAAAGGTGCAATTGCTGTTGACCCTAATCATCTTGCACACAATGTACATCTTCATCTTGGCCTATGTAAAGTGCTAGTCAAGCTTGGCAGAGGAAAAGATGCCTTGGACAGTTGTAGTGAAGCTCTTAAGATCAATGAAGAGCTTGTTGAAGCTCTTGTTCAGGTTCAAAATAATCTTAAACATCATTGTGCATTTGTGCTTGTTTTGTCTTTTAGCAATATTTTTTGGGGCATAGTCTGTTAGTAAAAATTGCAGTAGGATATATTGTAGCGTAGGTTGCACTTAATACTTATACTGATGTTATTTGTTGAAGAGAGGAGAAGCTAAACTATTGACAGAGGATTGGGAGGGAGCTGTGGAGGATCTGAAATCAGCTGCTCAAAAATCTCCTCAGGTTTGTTATATATTTTGTATCTGGTATATCATGTTCCTGATCGCTGATAAATTATAATTTGGGAGGAATTTATGAATTCCCTTCCTCTGGATTAGAAGTAGGATAAGAAATCCTTGAAAATTATACAAAAACACTCTCTCCAAAAGTACGAGTTTGATAGAGAGATCAACTAAGCAAAGCTAGTTGTTGTCAATTCATATATAGGTTAAAGAAGGATATATTTCTTTTGCTCCGCACTTTCCTCAACTGGAGTGTACAAAAGTTCATTTTTGTCATTCCCTTAGTTCATAATCAGTTGTTACTTTCTTAACTTTTTAAGAGTGAAATCCCTAGGCCTATTAGTTGGTTGAATTAATATGATACATTACTTAAACTTTAGAAAGCCACCAGGAATTGTTTGTTGACTCAAACCCAATTATCTATTACTTGTATTTGTTTGTGAATGAGAGGTCGGGATAATTTGTATTTGTTTGTAGTTGTATTAATTTTAAGCAGTAAAAATTACTTTGCCCTTTAAAGCGTTCCGTTTTCTCCATGTTTCATGCTCTGGTTTTATTCTTAGAGATAAAGTTTGATCATTGTCAGCGTGAAAAGATTTTAGTCTTTACACTATCTGTAAATACAGAGGTGTTTTAGTAAAGTAACTATGGTTTTTAATCTGCTTTTAATTGTGAAAGGTTTGAACAACCTCTTTGAACGTGGCATCATATGAGATTTACTAATACTGTAACCTTGATATTCTTGTGAGTCTGAGTAATACTATGTTTATAACTGCAGGATATGAGTATCCGTGAAGCAGTAATCAGGGCTGAAAAAGCTTTAAAGATAAGCAAACGCAAGGACTTCTACAAAATTTTGGGAATTTCGAAAACTGCTTCTGCTGCTGAGATTAAACGTGCCTACAAGAAACTTGCCTTACAATGGCACCCAGATAAGAATGTTGACAAAAGGGAAGAAGCAGAGGCTAAATTCCGAGAAATTGCTGCTGCATATGAGGTTTATTATTATTATTATTATTGGGATTCCTTGATCAGACTCACAACAGTCTTTAATCAGCCATGCTTGTGTGATTATCGGATGAGAAATGCTAGCAGCATTTTTTTTATATTTAATGAAATTTATGTGAGACCTATTAAATCATCATGCCTTCCTTTCTATTTGGTGGGACTTATATCAAATTAACCCAACAATATAGTGTCTTGAAAAGAATGTGTAGTGTGTTACTGGTATTATTTCTCTTGTTGGATATATTTCCCAAGCTTGCACAATCATATTTTGTTATTGCTACGGTATTTTTTCACTTAAAAAGAAATCTTGGATGTGAATATTTTGTGGAATAACTGATAGTTACATTGTGTTTAGGTTCTCAGCGATGAAGACAAACGCACAAGATATGACAGAGGGGAAGACCTTGAAGAGATGGGAATGGGCAGTGGCGGTTTCAACCCTTTCGGTGGTGGGGGGCAACCGTTTACCTTTACTTTTGAGGGTGGTTTTCCAGGTGGATTTGGTGGAGGCTTTCCTGGTGGGTATGAATTCCATTTTTGATTGGAAAAGGAGCACTCCCCATAATTTTTCATAGCCAAAGTTAGAGACTGTCTTGATTTCCTGAAGGGACCACAGCAATTGTATTCACTAATCACTTGCTAACGGTTGTTGAGGTAAATACATAGGCCATCCCCGGATGCTTGTAAGATAAGAAACGTGCGTTAGAGAAGTTTTTGCTTTATGCAGAAGTGATGGGGTTGGGTGTTAGTTAAGGAGGCACATTTTGATGTAGCCCCATTTCCTTTTATGCAGTGGTTGTCACTATGTAACGCATACTTTAAATTCCCGGCAACCATAGTACTTTTTGACATATTTTAATCAATTGAATGGCTTCACAATTAACACCATGATAATTTGAGTTACTGCTTCAAGTCTATTTAGTTGCAATTATCGAGTGTAATGTTAAATTTATTTGCTATATAGATGTCGCCGTGTCTCACTGTCTCTCCAATCTACACTATCAAGTATCAATTTCTCTCGTTAAGAAATGTATATTAGCTGAATTTTCTATTCTTCCTTTGCATCTCCTTTTATCTTAATTTCAGGTATTGTTCAGTCTCAACATTGTTTTTTTTCATGTCTTTGATCTATTTTGACCTGCCGTGCAGCAGTGTCTTATTGTTGTTTTATGTGTGTATTTCTACTCATTATTATTATTATTTAATCTAAAATACTATTTTTTTTAAAAATTAAATTAATAATTTGAAGAGTTTGTATACAATTTAATTAAATAGGACTGATTAAGTACATTAGAGTGATAATAAACACTTTTCTGTCACGCTGGGGTTCACGTCCAACTAGTGGCCTTTATATACTCTTTCAGTCATACGATAGTTGACGCGTTCGATCCATGTTTAGTTTTCAATAATTTTCTTTCATAGTTTTTTATTACGATTTTAATTATAAGTTGATTTAATAAGGAAAGTAAATTAACCCTACACATACCCCTAATTGCACGAGTTGATTATTTCATGCTTTTTAATTTTATTATTTGAACATTTAAAATTGATCTCGTATATGACTATGTTTATTTTTTAATTTTTTGTATACACATATTTCAAAAACATTCCCAAAATAATTTTTTTATTGTCCTATGATTATTTTGATGTTCAGAAAATAAATTTCTTTCTTTTTACGACAATATTCTTGGAACCCCTCTACCGTTACGGAAATAGTAAATAACCATGGCTATGTCTTGGCTTTGCCGAACAACACAATTTGGACTGGATAGGCAAAAGTTTGACCATTGCAGCAATCTATGATTAAAAACTACAAAGCTCATAAAAATATATCTCATAAAAATAAAAAGTAAATAACTTCACTCCTAAACTACCGACTTGAAAGACAAAAAAAGTCATTTATATTGAACCCAAAATTTTTCATCTTCGTAACAACAACAGCACACGAGATCTCCACCCCCATCATCAATAAACCCAAACTAGCTCGAGGAGGGAAAAATAATAATAATAGAAACAGAAAAACACGAGACATCCTAAGAATTACATTCAGAAACAAGAAACAATCATAGCAATAACCGAAACAACGAATGTAACACCTTTAACTGTCTGGCTATTCAAACTCACAGCACTCGAAGCATCAACCGATGTATCCGACGTTCCTGTTGGAGAGTCAGCCTCCCGGACATTTTTCTCCGGCTTTGTCGGCGCCGGAGCCTCCGCCGGCGCCGCTGTCGGCGCTTGGCCAAAGAGTGCCATAGGAAGGAGCACCTTGTCCACCTGATACACCGCAAGTTGGTTATCACTATATATAACATTGGACACTGTTGTATCCACCACCCCAGTTGTTACATTCACTTGGTTCCCTGAGGTGGTAACATTCAAAGGGTACTCTCCATCATCACTGTTCCCAGCTTGTGTGTGCAATGGGTTACTTGCTGTTTGGAACTGTGACATTGTGTAGAGATTTGGGAGTATATGGAACTGCAACAGCTGGAGTTGATCTTGGGTGTTGATGGAGTTTAGTGTTCCTGCTTTTAGACTTGAGAACGCATTATCAGTGGGTGCAAAGATGGTTAAGCCTTGGTTTGAGTTGTTGAGTTGAGAATTGATGCGATCAGCTACTTGTGTTGCTTTGAGAAGTTTCATGAATGTTGTGAATTGCCCTGCTTTTTCTAGGACTTGGGTGATGTTGGTGGGTCCTGATGGTGCTGGCGCTATTGTTTGAGCATGAATTGTTTGGATTATCATGGTGAGGAAGAGGAGAGGGAGGAAATGGAATAGCTTTGCCATTGGTATGAGGAAGAAGCTAAGAAGTTTAATTAACCAAGATTTGTTACAAGTGGAATGTGGGTATGTTGTGTTGTGTTGTGTTATATATATGTTGTTAAGGAGAGGGTGCATGGAAATTAGAGTGGTAAAGGTTTGGTGAAAGGTTGCAATTAGTATAAGGTGGCAAGAGGCCCTCATGCAATCAATTTCCTTTCTAAAAGCATGAGATTACAGGAATATAGAATTGCTTCCCTGTGGGGGCTTTTCCTGGCGGGTATGAAATTTTGATTGGTGAAGATGGGAAAAGATGTTATAATTTTCTTAGGGAAAGTTTGTTGAAGGGACCACGGCAATAATATTGACTAATTGATCACTTGTTAATGGTTGTTGAGGTAAATACGGAATGGAAGCTGAGATGCTTGTGAGATAAGCAATGTGCTTTACAGAAATATTTGCTTTGTGAAGAAGTGATGATGAGGTGGGTGTTGGTTAAGGAGTGTCATTTTGATGTAGTCCCTTTTCCTTTTATGTGGTGGTTGTCACTGTGTAACGATGACTTTAAATTCCAGGCAACCTTAACAGTTTTCACACATTTTAGTCACTTTCTTGAATTGATCACACTCAGTTTAACGCTAAGAAAATTTGAGTTAGTGCTGCCTGCTGAAGCCTATATATTTAGTTGCAACTGTCATTCATAAAATTTTAAATATGGGAAAATTATCATTATACACTCCCTAGTTTTATGTACTAATTAACGAGAGATAAAAAGATAAAAGAGAAAATTACAAATTATGATAAATAATATGATTTAAGAAAAAAAAATAGTAGAGAAGTAAAATTGTTTTTTTAAAATATATGAATGTTATTGTTGTTATATCAAGCCCTTGCCCTTAGAAATGGATTTGCCATTTATATAACACGCCCATGTGTTTCATTAATTCTCTGAATTTTAGGTGTTATTCAGTTGATATTATTTTGGATGTTGCTGACAAAATACTGTGTTCATTTTTTAAGAAATTGAAAAGGAACAAATATATAACAAGAATATAACATTTTATATTGAGAACTTCAAGTGTTTTTTTTATTTAGTATTTTTTTTTTGTAATCGTCAATAGATGTTTTAATAAGGATGTTGTTAACATTAATTTGTCAAACATTAATTTTAAATTATTTATCACTTTTAAAATCTTAAAGACATCACTATAAAAAAAATATTGATAAATAAATTACTGCAAGATTTGCTGTTATTTGTATAATCTTTGTCTAATGAAAATTAAATTAGTGTAAGCATTACGAGTTTATATAAACAATATAATAGATCACGCTAACAAATAAATCTCTTGATAAAAGAAATTGATATTTACCATCAAGACATCATATAAATAGAATAATGCGTTATTTATTAGCATAAATTTATGATGTATATATCCCAACATGTTAATTTTAGTATTAATTATCTTTTTAATTTATCATATATTTGGTATCTTGATTAATTAAAATGACAAAAATATTATCATAAAAAATAGTGAGAAATGAATATATTTTTATAAAATTAATTTTTTTAACAATTTCTTTTAACTGTTACAAAAAAATTAATCAATAGTTATTTATAAATTGAGATAAAAATAAAGCTTCCAATTGGTAGTCTTACTACTACCATATGAAAGTAATATTTTGACCCACCATTCTAGACTCTAGAGTATGTTCCCTTCCAATTGGTGGCCTTGCTCGTAGGTTTACTCACGGGACATTTGTTGGTATCAGTTAATATTTTGTTTTGATTAAGTTTTCAACGAGTATTAGTAATGTAATTTTAATATACTACTTTTTAATGTATTTTTATCGTTAGTTAATTCTTATTAAAAACTATTGTTAAATCTGAAATTAGACTCGCATAATTTAGTGACTTTTAACTAATTAACTTTAGTTAAAAATAAAATTTATATTTAAAAGTATGGATCGAGGTTTTCTTCTTTTTAGTATATGTTTCTATTTTTATAAAAGTTTTGTCGATTAAATTTCTATCATAAGTTACTTTATTATAAAAAATTATTATTCATTAACAAACAAAATTGTCAAATATTAAAATTTTCTTTTTAATATAATCTTCATTTAATAAAAATTAAATTACTAATATAGACATCAAGAATATATACTAACAATAAAATATATACTAACAGGATGAAAAATTAAATATTAGTAAACATAGTTAAGATCTTTGATCATGTAAATACAAGTCAACTCTATTACACACCTTATAACATGAACAGTTTACTTGTTTCAGATTATTTGGAGTGGTGAACTATATAAACTGGGCCCTTTTGCCGGGATAAAAAAGAGATAAAAGAACTCATCTGTTTCCCGTTTATTGTACTTCAATTACAAGGAAAATTATACTTATTCATTTTGGGAGAGATGTTTCTGTGTGTTTCTTTTTATTTTAGGAATACATTCTAAAAATACGTTTATTAAAAAATAATTATATATAATATATCATATGATATAATTTTCTAGTGATTTGAATAATGAATCAGATTTACTAAACCCTTCATTCTTCGCTGGTTCTTGGTTCGACACAAATAAAACCAATAAGCCTCTAGCGAAACCATCTCAATTACAATTACTTAAACCTGGTGTAATCTTAATTAATTTTAATTGACTAACTAAGTAACTAATTTAACAAAAATGGATAGTTGATTAAATATATGTGTAAGGTAAAAGTAATGATCTATGATGGTAACTAGGATTTGGGAAATTCAACCTCCCCACACATTTTGGATTGGAATGGAATGGAAGTCGATGGACAAAAATTCACCGTTGCAATTAATTGCAAATTTGAAGGGGGAAAAACTCATTTACATTGAACCCAAAATTTTAACTCTGTAGCAGCAAAAGTACACGAGATCTTAACATCAATAAACACAAACTCGCGAAAATTAAGAAAAATAGAAACGAAATACATAAAAAGAAAAAAAAAAAAAAGGAACATCCTAAGACTACATCCACAAAGAAGCAAGAATGGCAACGGTCATAGTAACACCCTTAACTCTTTGCTTATTTAGTTTCAGACTCACAGCACTCGAAGCATCAACCGATGTATCCGACGACCCTGTCGGAGAATCAGCCGCCCGGACATTTTTCTCCGGCTTTGTCGGTGCCGGAGCCTCCGCCGGCGCCGCTGTCGGCGCTTGGCCAAAGAGTGCCATAGGAAGGAGCACCTTGTCCACCTGATACACCGCAAGTTGGTTATCACTATATATAACATTGGACACTGTTGTATCCACCACCCCAGTTGTTACATTCACTTGGTTCCCTGAGGTGGTAACATTCAAAGGGTACTCTCCATCATCACTGTTCCCAGCTTGTGTGTGCAATGGGTTACTTGCTGTTTGGAACTGTGACATTGTGTAGAGATTTGGGAGTATATGGAACTGCAACAGCTGGAGTTGATCTTGGGTGTTGATGGAGTTTAGTGTTCCTGCTTTTAGACTTGAGAACGCATTATCAGTGGGTGCAAAGATGGTTAAGCCTTGGTTTGAGTTGTTGAGTTGAGAATTGATGCGATCAGCTACTTGTGTTGCTTTGAGAAGTTTCATGAAGGTTGTGAATTGCCCTGCTTTTTCTAGGACTTGGGTGATGTTGGTGGGTCCTGATGGTGCTGGAGCTGTTGTTTGAGCACGAATTGTTTGGATGAACATGCTGAGGATGAGGAGAGGGAGGAAATGGAATACCTTTGCCATTGCTATGCGGAAGAAGCTAGGAAGGGTAATTGACTAAGATTTGTTGCAAGTGGAAGGAAGGGAGTGGTATTGTGTTTTATATATGTTGTTGAGGAGAGGGTGCATGGAAATTAGAGTGGTAAAAGTTTGGTGAAAGGTTGCAATTAGTATAAGGTGGCAAGAGGCCCTCAAACAATGAATTTTCTTTCTAAAGGCAAGGCATTACAGGGAGGAAAAGAGGAGTGAGAATTGCTTTGGCAGGCAGAAAAAACAATAGCAGGATGGAGAGATTGAAATTGGAATTTGATTTAATTTCAATAATGTAAGAGGAGATTAATTCTAAAAATTATTTTAGTTTTAGCAGATAATATTGTGTGCTAATTTATCTTAATTTATTAAATTTGAATCTATATTTTATATAATACATGAATGTTTTATCAGTATAATTTTTAATTATAAAAAAGTGGTATTTTTAAATACCTCGTTGAAATGAGAAGGTAGGTTTGGAAATATTAGAAATTAAAAGGTAAAGTGTCAGATGCCAAGTTCGAAACCCAAACACTGTTTTGAGTAGTATACAACAAACCACTAAACAGGGATATGAACTAGCACCAGTTGGTCTGAAACATAAACACAAGTTGTCAGTGTAATGTTCTTTCCCAGATTTGTAACATACTACTATATGTAAATCTTATTAAATAAATCTTAATAGGTTAGTTGAGAAGAGAAATTGGAGTCCTGTATCGAAAATATTTTACGTATCATTAACAGTAGACATTTTTTGTTTTATAATATTTTGAGTGTATTTTTTACATATTCAAAAATAAAGTTTTAAATAAATATTTTATTATAATTTTGTGCATCATAAGTTAATATCATATTATATCTTGTCCATAAATGCATACTTTAATTTGATGCATTTGCATTTTTAAATAATACTCTTTATTTTATAATTATATATATATATATATATAATGTTTTATTAATTCATAAAAGAAGTGTTGGAAAAAAGAACATTGCTAAATGATACGAATGAATTTAGTACGAAAAAGTAACGAATCCATTGTGTTTAAAACTTATTAGTTAATTAACAAATTAAAAATAATATAAAAAGAAAATATTTGATGAAAATTATGGAAGATGATTGTATAATAGTTTTCGTCGAATTCATCTCGTACTATTTCGTATTTCTCTGAAAAAATGGTTCTTCAATTAACAAATTAAAAGTAAAGAAGACGTGAACAGAGATATAAATGACTAATAAATATGTATATAAAAATTAAAATTGTTATTCATGTAAGTATGAAGATAAATGTTATAATACTTTTACAAAATTCTCTCTCTTAGGATTTTAAGAAAAACAAATGTTAATGGATTAAGTTGTCAAGATGGGTTGAACTTGATGCAAATTCTAATAATTTTATATACGATGTAAATTGACTTCTAAACACTTTTCTCAATCTCAACTAAGTATAGCCCAACTTGAAAATTGTTGGCCCAATTTTTGTTTATTTTTATATTTCTTACAACATTTTCATTTGGATTGTTTTTGTTTCTGACAAACATTTTTCTTAAAATGTGTCATTTTCAATCGAAATTCAAACCATTATTTACAATTTTATAGAAGATAAACTTTTTCTACTTTTTTCCAGTAGACTCGACTTCTATTAGTGAATTTGGTTTGTGTAAAATAAAATAAGGATTATATTTACATTATGTGGTATGTAAATGTACTTGATTACAATAATATCAAGGTTAGTTTTCTGACAAATTTTATGAAATGCAGTCTGGATTAAGAGGTTTTATGATTGGGCTTCGAAGAGTCCATGATGGAAAATGAGAAAACGGGCTTGGGTGATGGAAACGAGAAAAGGGCACGCAAAAGAAAGCAGGGAAAGTGAAAGAGAAAGATTGTGGAAGAGAAGAGAGGGTGGAAGGAATGGTACTATGGTAGTGTTAGGTCTGCATGTTTGTGCATTGTTCTTCTAAGTTCCTATCAGCGTCTTTCAATTGCGTTTTTAGTTCAAAACTGATAAGATAAGAAGAAGAGGAAAAAAGTAACTAAATCTTAAACTGCAATCGTGGCCGTCCATTCCGTTGACCAAGAAGGGGCCGTTTTCCGAATAACAAAAACACACGATTCGCGATTGCCATTGCCATCGCCAGCGTATATACCAAATCAAACAGCCGCAAACCCTTTCTTTGATCTTCAGTGCCGAACAAGCCATTGTTTGAGATTTGAAACCCTAACAGAGCCACATAGTTCAATTGCGATTGCGATGATCGTTCGGAGGTGAAACGACACGATGATGAACACAGCGAACGGCATGATGTCACCGTCGTCTTCATCGGCAACTGCACAGTCGCCTGGTCTCAAGACTTATTTCAAAACCCCCGAAGGTCGATATAAGCTTCAATACGAGAAAACTCACCCTTCTGGTCTTCTTCATTATGCGCATGGCAAAACCGTTACTCAGGTTTTGCTTTCTCTCTTCTTATTTCTTTTCCATGTTCGATACCTATTGCTATTGTTGTTATTAGTCTAATTGTTTTTCAGGGATGTAGGGACTTTCTTATTCAATGCTCGTTATGTGTAATTTATCTTTTTGTGTCTTCTTCTTTTATGTTTGGATTTATTACTAGGGTTTCTCTTGCTGTTCATTGCAACCACTTCAAATTTTGATTCATTTGATATTTCAATTTTCTTTTCTAATTTTATTTTTGGATGAGTTTTGAATTTTAGGGGAATGTTGGCATTCTCGGACGAGTCATTCACTTTTGCATTCAGTTTCGTATGTTATGTTGTTGTTTTCTAGCTGTTTTTGTAGAAATAGTTTTGAGGAAGGCTTGTGTTGATTTCCAGGACAAATTTCTGTAGTGCTTTTGCCTGCATTAGTCATTCTGTTTGTTGAGTTAGATGGAACTTATCTTTTTGCATGATCACATTGTTGGTTTGATTGAATGATCAGGTAACCCTGGCACATCTCAAGGACAAGCCAGCGCCTTCGACCCCTACTGCGTCATCTTCGAGTTTTAGTGCCAGCAGTGGGGTAAGGTCCGCAGCAGCCAGATTGTTGGGAGGAAGCAATGGAAGCCGGGCACTTAGTTTTGTTGGAGGCAATGGTGGCAGCAAGAGCAATGGTGGAAACAGTAGGATTGGTTCCATTGGTGCTTCAAGTTCAAGTAATTTAATGGCTAATGCAAATTTTGATGGGAAAGGAACGTACTTGATCTTCAATGTTGGGGATGCAATTTTCATTAGTGATTTGAATTCTCAAGACAAGGTATATTGGTCAGATTTTGGTAGATTTTTAAGAAATTTGGATTTGCTTCATGAGAGGTTTCTTGTTACGTGTAGGACCCCATAAGGTCAATTCACTTCAGTAATTCGAATCCTGTGTGCCACGCATTTGATCAGGATGCTAAGGATGGGCATGATTTGCTCATTGGTTTGAACTCTGGTGATGGTAAAAAAGTTTTCACTAAAATTTAAATTTCTGTTTTGTGAGGAAAGTTTAAGCTTTATGAATTTATTGTTCCTGTGTCTATTATTGTAGTCTACTCAGTGTCACTGAGACAGCAATTACAGGATGTTGGTAAAAAGCTTGTTGGGGCCCAGCACTACAACAAAGATGGTTCTGTCAATAACAGGCAAGATTCAATAATCCATTCCCTTGTGATGTTTTAATTACATCTGTTAACTTCTCTCAAAATTGTTGCGTGACTTAATTTGCAAGAACTCTTGTTCTCTGTGCGATGAGTACTAGGGATTACATACTGTTTTGAATTTTGATGACTGTGCGTGCAAGAGAGAGAGAGAGATTCATTCTCGAATGTTGATTTTAACACAACCTTGGAACTCACAAGCAACAAGCATTTCTTCTTCAGAAATGCCTGTGTGTTGATTTAGTATTTAGTGTCAATTTTCAATGATAGATGATAAGAAACAAATAGATCGTCAATGTTATGTGCATATGGTCCAACTTTGATAAAATTATGTACTATGACTGTTTCACTCTGCAATCAAAATGAATAGGTTATAGATCTTGCTAGTTGATAACGAGTGCTTTAAGGTCATTAGTTAAAAAACACTTAATGCACTCTATTAGATGCTTTCAATTACTTTAAGAAAAGTCAGTATTCAATTTTTTATTTTTTTTTTGTGTTTTTTATTTAATGAATGCTTTCCTTTACATTAAATATATTCTATTTTTGTTTCCTTAACCAGGGCCCTGAGGAACTCATCGACATTTATCATTGATTATTTATTGATTCATGTCATGGTGGCTGGCAATAATGCAGTTGCATATTGCACTGTCTATGCTCATTATAAGTTATCTATGGTAGTGCTTCACAATTAAGCCCATTTCAAGAGTAGATAAAAGGGGTGTTTTCTTTTATAAATTTCTTCCATACCTTCTTCGTTTCCCATGGGTTCTTTTTAGATAGTTTCCTGAAAACTAGGAAGGATGTAATTTTAGTTTGTGAAAACTTATTGAGATGTGAATAATTTGAGTTTGAATGTCTTGGAGGTACTTGCCTTGACATGGTGATCTCTGTTACATGAATGAAGGTTTGATAAAACCATGAGTCCATGACTTGGCCATCCATGTCATTTAATGAGGATGGAAGCATGTTTATCAAATGTTAATTTTGTAGAGGTTTATACCCCATTCCTAGATGTATAAATTGAAACATAGTGGTTGAGCAAGATTCTAAATCTTTTATCTATGCTAGTGTTTTAAAATTTGGGAATTCTATCATCCCTGATCTTCTCTGTTATGTACATTTCCTTCAGAAAAAATTATAAATATTAACTGATTATGTATTACCATTTGATGAACATGATTATGCTTGTTGAGGAGTTATTCTTAGATTATGCGATCTCTTATGATTACTGCCAATCAAATCCAGCAGCTTAGATTATGTTATCTCCTGTGAACACATGGCGTTTCCAGTCAGTGGACAAATTAGTTTAACTGTATACAAGAGTATAACCAGTTTATCTTAATTGCATTACTTTTACTGAGTAAAGTATGTGAGTGGTAGTTGATTATTGTGGTTATAATAATTCTTGGAATTGAGTGGTGGAGAGGCTAATTCTTTGAATTGTTGATTGTTATTAGAATTGTCCAGGTCTCCTTCTAGAGATTTATTGTATTGGAATGTTATGTCAAACACACTGATTGGAAGTTATCTTAATTGATATGTTTTGAATTGAACAGTCGTTGTACTTGTATTGCTTGGGTGCCTGGAGGTGATGGTGCTTTTGTTGTTTCTCATGCTGATGGGAATTTGTACATATATGAAAAGGCAAGCCTCAATTATCACGAGAGAATCTTATTTAATGGTTCACTTATGATTATCTATCTTTTGGTGTATTAAGCAGATATTTACCTTTTCTTTCCCATTTCAGAACAAGGATGGTGCCGGTGATTCTTCATTTCCAGTTATCAAAGATCAAACTCAATTTTCTGTTTCACATGCACGTTACAGTAAGGTATTGAGTTTAATGACCTTTTGGTTTCTGGACAACTTATTGACATGCAACATTTATTTTACTCTTTTCCCCCACTTTTGGTCTATCTATTTTTAGTTGACTGTTGTTAAATTCTGATTCTATTACTGATTGGCAATGATTGCTTAGTTCTTGTAGAACTCTGCAGCTTTCTCACTGGACCTTTTATTCATAACACAATTAACACATCCAAGGCATAATTTGTTTTCAGATGAAATGATGAATTCTAAAGTTTGCTCTTCTGGACAATATTTTCTGTTATTATATCTTCTTTTTTTTAATTCTGGATCTTTGCAGAGTAATCCAATAGCCAGATGGCATATATGCCAGGGCTCAATCAACAGTATTTCTTTCTCGTTTGATGGGGTATACTTAGCAACTGTTGGACGTGATGGTATATTTTTTATCTAATTCAATCCTCAGTGTGTTAGGTTATTTCATTTCCTTGGAAAAATAACATTCCATTTATTTTACTTACTGCAATTAGGTTATTTGCGAGTGTTTGATTACTCAAAAGAACAGCTTATATGTGGTGGCAAAAGTTATTATGGTGCTTTGTTGTGTTGTGCTTGGAGGTAAGTCATGTTTGGTTCTAGTCAATTTTTTGGACTCGTTTCCTATTTCCTTACTTCACCTCTTACTCTGGAGATTATAAAATAATAATAGTTGCTCTAGTTTTTTTTTTATTATTATTTAATACTTTGAGAATACAATTCTATATTGAAAACTCTTTTAACAGCATGGATGGAAAATATATTTTGACGGGAGGGGAAGATGATTTAGTTCAAGTTTGGAGCATGGAAGATCGCAAGGTTGTGGCATGGGGTGAGGGGCATAATTCGTGGGTAAGGTGCTTGATAATTGAGTTGTGGCAAATTTTACTACCATAGGACTGATTTACTTTGTGTCAAATGCTGTGATCAGGTCAGTGGAGTTGCTTTCGATTCATATTGGTCGTCACCAAATTCAGATGACAATGGAGAGACCATTATGTATCGTTTTGGTTCTGTTGGTCAGGTACTAAGAAAAATGTTCATTATTGGCCTGTGTAGCTCTAGATCTCTGCTTAAATTTTTCCGCATGATTTTTCCTTGTTGGCCTGTGCTATATAGTATAATTGACAGTTTTGAAAATGAAATTGCTGTATCTTCTTGCTTAGAAATTGGCTTATTGCTAGATGGTTTTGGCTTCAAATATTTGGATTAAGAAACACTGGGGGCATTTTTTAGATTTCTCATGGTTTTCAAATATTGGATCTGTGACTGGTTTCTAAGAATTTAGATACTGCCATATTTATAACATGCTTAATTAAAGCTATGGTGAAGGCAGAAGCAAAATTTTTTAATTAGGTAGAGTTTATATCGATATTTGGTAGCATTCAGGTTTCATATGATGAAGTTAGGCAATTCTAATTCCTGAGGGTATGTCTATCAAAATAAAAAGTATTTAGTATAAAACACTTCGGCAGCACAATTTTTTTATTTTATTTTCAAACATGTTGGTATTATTTATGAAACTTATGCAAGATAATCAACTCCACTTATCCCCAGCCAAGATGGAGAGGGAAAAGGCTAAACTGTCTGTGGCTTCATATAGAATGTCAGACCATGAAGTTAAAAAAGAAATACGGTTGTAATCAGTTACCAGTGACTGCTGTTGTATGGGAGATACATGTTGAATCATTTCAAATTTTAAATTTGGCTTTTGGCTAAAATTTCCCAGCTTTTTTGTCTACGGGTGTGCTTTGCCTTACCCCAGCTCGTGTTTACTCAAATTTTGCAACTAAGAAGTTTTGGTGATCAGGATACACAATTGCTGCTATGGGACCTGGAAATGGATGAGATTGTAGTGCCCTTAAGGCGTCCACCTGGTGGATCCCCGACTTACAGTACTGGAAGCCAGTCAGCCCACTGGGACAGTGTTGTTCCATTGGGTACCTTGCAACCTGCTCCAAGTATGCGGGATGTTCCGAAAATCTCTCCATTGGTTGCTCACCGTGTGCATACCGAACCTCTCTCTGGCTTGATATTTACCCAGGAATCTGTACTCACTGCCTGCCGGGAGGGGCACATTAAAATCTGGATGAGACCCGGGGTTGCTGAGAGCCAATCAAGCAACTCTGAAACCTTGTTAGCTACTAGTCTCAAGGAGAAGCCTTCCCTTTCAAGCAAGATCAGTAATTCTAGCTACAAACAATGACAAAATCTTAATCTAAAGGGAATTTTAAACAATTTTTTTATATGGTTTGTTTATCTTTTATCCGGTTGGTTTCCTCGTTTTAACATAGCGATTTAAGTAAAAGTGAACCAACTGGTCTATTGTAAATTCAGTTATTCACGGATGAGCATGCCATTGATGGCACTGAGAGGATGGGAGGGAGAGTTCTCTCCGGCCACCTGCTGTAATTACAAAACGGCTGTTACTAGGATGTCTGATTAGTGATTACAGGAATAATGTGAAATTGGTCCTTTGAAGTGCATACATACAAGCCATTATTTATTGTGCTGGCATTTAATTTTGTTCTGTTTGCTTAGCAAGAAGGTGCATTGCATGTAGCTGAGGAGTGCTGTCTGCGTGCCGAGATGTGATATTGTTGAGTGGAGGAGGCTAAGCAAATATTTGGATTGATGTTCCCTTCATTCTCAAAATGTTTTGAATTTATTCATCGACACTATTGGGAACTACAATCGTAAGTAGAGCACTAAAAGATATTAGAAAAAGAATTAGGATTTCAAAGACTTGAGATCATGTACAGAATATTAAAGGATGAAAAAAATCAACTAATCGAATTTCACATTTTTTGGTTAGTGGTTACTACTTGCGTTCTACTTTTTGAAATCCCTTCAGAGAATTCAAATCCAAAGACATTTATTTACAAAGAATTCCAAGTGCTAAGACGTCTCTGATCGGGGTCGAAGCTTGGGGTGAATTATGTCGGCGCCGAACTGATTTTTGAAAATTACGATGGTAATCAAACCAACAAAGATGCTGCTTGTTCGATGTTACAGTTTGTATTCACCTTATACTTTTCATTAAAGAATCATTAAAAAGTACCTTCTACTGTTTTGTTGCTAACATTTTATGGCCATTACAATTTAGTATTTTGTTTCCAGTAACGTGAAAAACTCAAACAGATATACTGGTTACGTGGAATACTAGTTAAAAAGACAAAGACAGTGTGTGGAAATACCTTCGGTCAAAGGTCTGAAACCAAAATAAGACAGCTAACCAATAGTTGGATTGAAAACATGCAGTTTCATTAGTCCTTTCAACTGTCATTGCTGTACAAAATCCTTTTTGTTGTCCCCCCAAAATTGCAGTATAACTTTAAACACAACCTTTCTTTATATTTTCACCGGTAGGATTTGCTCAGAAGTTCCATGCAAGTTCAATATAGCCCCATAGTTATTGAAGAATTGGCTTCTATATTTCTCGAGTCACGGGTCAGAAACCAAGTGATACTTGTGTATTCGTGAGTACCAGACTCCGAAAAAGGAAGAGCATGAGTGTGCTCAAACTATTCTACCCATTATACTCTGTACAGATAGACATCATTATGCTGTCAGAAGTCAAGGAAATAATATAAAAAATGACAGTATATTCCATGTCAGTTCACACGCACTGCAGTGTCTCTCACATTATTTTGATGGTGTTGAGAGTCAGTCTGAGCTTGATGAGTTGCTGCAGATGAGTATGATTGAGGAGGCTGTACCACCTCTTGGGAACCGTGCTGTTGGTTCAACTCACCAAGCCATTGTCTTCTCCACTTCAGAAACTCAATAAGAATATAAGCTCCACACATAACAGCTCCAAACCCAGTAAATGCAGCAAGTAGGATAGATAGAACAGCTTGCTTATGAATGTCATGCCACAAATATGTGAAAATATTAGAGGATCAACAAAAATCACAACCGGGGAAATTTTGCAAGTAATCATTTTCTCCACTTAGGCTAGAGAGCTGTCAAAAGGGGTGGAGGAGGACCAGGATCATCTATATAGCAAGCCCAAAAAACTGTTTATTTTTCAAAACACACGCATGATTTCCTTACCAATGAATAGAAAAGACGTCCAGCAAGAACCACCATGATAAACTGGACAACTGCATAAGCCCAAATGTGTTTTCTCCTCACTAAGAACAAATTTAGAGAATCAGTGTAATACCAAAGACAATTCAAATTTGTCTAAAATTAGGAAAAGCCCTACCCATTGTTGTGGACGTCATGCTTGCAAGTAGACCCAGTATACAAGAAAATGGGAGAGATATGATAATGGCACCAGATCCCATACTTGAAACCTGCCCAATGATGGAGGAATAAATATAAACAAAAGGGAACATTATCCAAGAGTATTAAAACTTACAAGTAGCTGCTCAAGAAAACAAAAGTATGCCAGCATCTTGATGATGGCAAGAATGGGAACATTTTGCCTAACCCTCTGAAAGTTCTGTTGATGAGGACATCCAGCCCAAGCCCAAGCCCAGACCCAAGCCCATGGAAGAACTCACATACCAAGGAAGGCTCAAGATCCACTTGAAGAAGCATTATTACATGAAATACATCTTGTGTTGGAAGCCCAACATCAGTTTGAAACTCATGATAGGGAAGATCCATCCATGGAGTTGAAGTCCATCACTTACCTTGTTCTTGTTGATTTTGAAGGACATAAGTTCAATGACTCAATTTGAAGTTTTATTTATTTTCTTTCTTTTCAGTTCATGATTAAAATTATATATATATATAAAAGTGTTTGTAGCAAAATTTGAAACTAAATGTGCTTTTCTTTTTCTCTTGTTTGATTTTAATTAAGCAAACTCTTAATTTGCATTGTACTAAAAATAATTGGATTGAATGGAAAAAGGAGAATTCAAATTGAACAAAATTTAAAAGAGTGAGATTTTCTCTCAAGGTTAGGGTTCTTCCTTACTTCTATGTCTTATCAAGAATTCTCATTCTTGTGGCGATCAACTTAGACTTATCATCTAAATAGGTTTGTGGTGTCTATCCTTTGTTATTCCTCTGTTTTTATATAAAATGACAATGAGAAACATAAATTTGACCTAAGATTTAAAAATATACAAAGTTTCATCATAATTCTAAAATTTCGTTCATAATTAACTCAGATCATATCTCTTATTATACAACATCTTTTTTGGTAATTCTTGAGCCAAAATTGTAGTTCAAAATGTGAACTTTCACCTCATTTTGGAAATATCATAATCCGAATTTTGTAGCGTGAGATACAGCCCAATTTTATTTCGTCTGCAGCTACATAATTTTGTTCTTGTTCGTGTTTGTTTTCTTTGCTCAAGTCAATTCTGTCCTCCCAATTTCTAAGGTTCAAAGTATACATTAGAAACCCTAATTTTCTCTTTTAATTTGAGTGTTCTTAGTTCTAATTAGGTCCTTTCCTCAAAGAGGTTTGAGAAACCTCATCATCTGTGCATTAGTTATGTTGTACCATGTTGCAAAATAATACTGATAGGTACTAATGAAGGATACTCAAGAAAAGCAGTGGTTTCGCCTTGCCTGTATTGTTGATTTGTGCTCCTTGTCAAGTTAAGTGCATGGACATTTGGAACCCGTAAAAGAGTGACAGGTAGGTTCTGAACTTCTTGCTTGCACACATCACATGTTCTGTTGCCTTTAATGCTAAACCATTTAACTGCACAATCTTGGTGCGCTAGTGCAAGTACACCTCTGCAACTGCACTCCATTTTAAGGGTGTCGACACCTTCTCCCAATTCAATCAAACAAATTCTGCAGACAGCTTCTTCTTCAAGAATATTTTCCTCATCCTCATTTTCAACTGAACCACAACATTCAGAAGCACATGATGGTTATTGATATAACTTAATGTCCAACTCTGTGATACCTGTCAGAACATTCAAACCCTAATTCCATATGCATTAAGTGGATTATATTACGTGGGTTAATTAATGTCATGAGCATGTTGGAAAACTATGAATAACTTGAACTTAAGGCTTAAAAAACACCGGCATTAACATCTGATAGTTATAATGATTATAAGTTCATAACCAACAAAATTCACACCATCTCCGAGTACCATATAGTTTTAGTTAAGACAAGAAATAAATTGTTGAAAGTTCTAAAGTTAATAAACATGAAAACAGAAGTTACCAGTATGGGAAGGTGGAGACTTCATAGATGTTGTGGCAATACTCCCAGCCAACTGTAGTGTGCTAGGAACAATACGAATCGTGCCACCTGCATACGTGGTGCCATCTTTGGTAATCACGGGCACTGAATTAGAACGATGCATTGGTAATTGCTGTCCCTTTTTCTGTAAAATGAAGAAAGAATGAGTCAGATAAAAGTGGATAACAAATTATCTTGAAGACATCAAAATATTCAAATCCAATTATGATTTGTAAAGGCATAAGAGGACATAAAAATAGCATTTGTTTTACCAGATTAGCATAGCAAACTATAGTTTTATAGATGTTATTGTAACTTGCAGAAAAAAAAATAGAAGGTTGAATGATCAGGAATTGCATTTATTGTGAAAAATACAGGCATTACATACAATTTCATCAGAAAAAGCTATACAACGAAGAAACACCCTAAGTTGCAATGAGTTTTTTCGACAATGAGTTTCTTCCACTTTACTGTAAAATTTGCAAAGCTACTCACATGTGTTGCTGGAGTAGCAATGTTATTGTTCCCTCCATGCTCACACTCAAGATTTGACTGAGCAATTGGGGTTACAGGTAAGGATGATATCTTCTTCCCTCTAGGTGATAATGTCCTTGAATTCATAGGCTTTTGCAGCGGCTCTGGGAGTGAACTTTCAAGTGCTAGGATGGAAGACTTTTCAATATCTGAACTAATGTTGCAAAATTTTAAACTGAGCTTGTGTATTACAGTTTTAGTATTTGAGTTGTTTTTCATTGAAGAGGGACCTTGGAACTTTCGTTTCTAGGAGTTGGAGTTGGAGAGTTGTTGGTCCTCAAATAATCCTCTCTTGCTTCATCCAGTGTTCTTGTGGGTATCTCCAAGATAAGGTTTTTCTTTCTCCCATGTTGTCTGCTTGGGAGTTCCTCCGTTATTTCGGATGGTTCTACAATCTATACATGAAGAAGCCAAAATAGACTTTCATAAAAATAGAGGAGAAACTTCAAACACCAAACTAGAAACAGTGGAGATGATGATCATTGATCAGTGTATAAAGGTATGAACTGAGAAATGGATAAGACTCGTGATTTCTAGTCAAGAAACCAATGTTGACACTGATAAGATGAAGAAAATGTTAACTTGAGTAAGAAAACAAGGAAAACCAAAAGTAGGCAACAAAAGGAAGTGGAGATTAGAACATAATATTAAGGTTGTACCTTTTTAATTGGGTTATGAGAACAACTCGCAGTGCCTTGGTCATTAATCTTGTGAAAGCTTTGTGCTTCTTCATTTGCCATATATTAAGGTATTCAGCAGAAAACCCACAGCGAGAAAAACACGACAAGTTTGAGCTGTGAGTAATTTGCAGGCAACAAAGGTGAAATCTTGCAGCGATCATGGGAGCTGGAAAGATGCAAAAAGGGAATTTAGGAAAGAAAGGAGACAAGTGGCATCAAAGCTTCAAGTAGACATATTTCAACTTTTCTGGTCTCTTAAGGTTGTGTGGCACACGAAGTAAAAAGTTAAAAAGTGAGACTGCTACTTAGGTGTCTATTTTATATTTGTGGTGTAATATACATAAATGAAATTTATTATTATATGCTTACTAATTTTTTCAATGTAATATTTCTATAAGTTATAATTATAGTTTTTTAAAATTATATTAAATATGTTAACTTGTTAAATTTTGTTTCACCACCATGTTCAAAGTTGTTTTTAGTTATAAAATATTGGATTTTATTTTAGGATACAGGTGAATTTATATATGTTTTAAAATATTAATTATAACTTTTGTGTTAAATTCATAATTAGAGAATTTTTAACGCATTTTATAATACACACTCAATTATAACTCAATTTGAAATATGATTTGAAAAAGTTAAACACCTATCCTTAAACCAATTATTTTGTACCACTTGTATCTAAATTATAATTTAGAGTATTCCAATCTTAAACTCTAATTTTTTCATTTGTGTTTTTTTTTTTTTACTTAAGTATGCTTTTAATTTTCGTATTCTAATTTATTAGATTTTTTATTTTTATTTTAATTATTTATTTTAGATATTATATTATTGTAATTGTTCAAATTAATTTTTTATCTTATAATTTTTTTAATAATAAATACAATAAAACAGTACTGTATCATTAATTTGTAGAAATGATTCAATTAAGATTAAAAAATATCTGAATCAATCATCAAAAGTGTTTGTAATTTAGTGTTTTTTTTTATTAAAATTAACATTTTCTTAAAGACAAATTTAAAATACTCGTTGTAATTCTAAAAAATACTAATAATTTAATTTGATTTGAGTACAGTATAAATTAAACCGATCTTAAAGTTTTGGTTTGGATTCTGGAATATAATTTTTGTGTTTTTTTTCCTCTAATATTTTTCAAGGGATAGCAGCATTGCATTGCCCGTATAAGATTGCAGGACCTCGGTTAAGTTTAATCTGTCTATTAATTTAAAAATTTATATTAGTAATATAAGAATGAAGTCCATTACATTTTATTTTTTTATTAACTTAAATAAATAATAATATATTATATTTTTGTTAGTTATTATTTTAAGATAAAAATTAATTTAAATGATTCAAAAATTATAAAATTAAATATGAATAACTAACTCACAGAAATATATAAAAAAGATTTGAAGAGTAAAAATGTAATTGAGCCTAGAAATTTACAATATATTAGTAAATATTTAGGAGAATTGATAGTACCTTCTACGCACAACGCACCGACGCATAAAGCCAATGGGACAGTGGCAGATATAAACTTTGCTAATAATTGCTGAAACTGAAAACGCAAAGCTCAATGCTCCGTAATATGCCAAATTATTATTTTCAATCATTTTAGAAGTGACTTATGACCTATGCATAATTTTTTTCATAATTTATTAAAATAAGCTTCCCAAAGAAACCTATTATCATTTTTTTTATAAATTTAAAGAATCATTACTACTTTCTACCATATATACTTATACGATGAAGTAAGTTAAAAATATTTTATAAAAACTCTTTTAAACATTTTCCATGTCATATACCTCCAATTTATACCCTCTTTGAAACAACACTTTGAAGCTTTAAGACCTCTTAACACTTATATAGATAAGTTTAGCTTATCACTATTGTATTACATTTTTTTTATTGGAAAAACTATACAAAATTTAAATAGTATATAAATAAAAAGAACATTAATAAAAATCATTAATTAATGCTGAGCTTTTAGCGTTAAGGCGAGGTTAAACAAAATCTTAAAAAGTTTTACAACCTAAAATGATAGTTAGAGTTGGAGACACGAAGTTGGATTTGATGCCACGTAAAGAAGAATCGATGATGGGGCTTAACAAAAGCATCACAGCTCGCACCTTCCACACTGCCCATACCACAGTAACTCAAAATGGTGTCCTATATCTTCTCTTCTCCATAGATCTACTCTCCCAACTCAACTTCCATATTCTTCTTCTTCTTCTTCTTCTTCGTCCCCTCATCATCCTGCTTAGATCTACCAGCTGTTAGCAGATCAAAAACCTTCTAAAGTAATGATACATTGAAGCGAAAACTTGGAGCAATGAGCTAAACTCTCAAGGGGGAAGCAGTGAAGGGTTTCAACCCATTCAAAATAGGTTATGAGAAGATGAATAAGAAGAGGGTTCCAAAGAGAGTGTGGTTAAGCTTCCAAAAATCAATGGGTGTCCTCGTGGGTGGGAATCACACTTCTTCCAGGTTTTGCTCTCGCTAATTACTCTCCTTCTCTGCTTTTCAGTTTTCCTCTCTCAAATCAAAAACAAACACAAACACTTTGCGTTTTTCACTTCCAAAATTTCATGGATACCAAGTCCTTCAAATTCAAGATCCTTAACGGGTCCATTGCGAGGCGCGTGCTCTTACGCTCCATTCTACTCGCCTCTGCAATTTCCCTCTTGTCTCTGCTCCGCGCTCTATCGCTCGTCGATTTGGGATCCATAGCTCCCATCACCACCTATTTTACCTGCGATTCGCGTTTTGAAAACGCCACTTTCAGCCCCGGTTCCAACTTCTTCCAAACCCACTTCTGGGGCTCCAGGAATTGCAAGAAAGACGCCAACTTGACGGTCAACGTGGTCACCGAGCTAATGGATCAACGGTTGTTACACTTTGGAGCGAAAACTCTCTGCGTTGGAGAAGGGTCCTCAATGGCCGTTACGGCAATGAAACAGTTAGGTTTCACCAGTGTCAGTGGTGTTCAAACGCACCGTTTTTTGCAGAAGAAGATTGTGTACGACCTTGATTACCATGATTGTTCCTTTGATTTCGTGTTTTCTAGGGACCTTGACAAGGTTTCAATTCCTGCATTGCTTGTGCTTGAGGTTGAGCGCGTGCTTAAGCCTGGTGGGGTTGGTGCCCTTCTTGTGGGCACCACTGGTATCTACCCCAATGATTTGATAAGGGCAGCTACACCTGTGTCCTCATTGCTGAGGTCTTCCACCGTTGTGCATGTTGGTTCTGTTAATGAACTTAACCTTGTGGTTTTCAAGAAAACGTTTGAAAATGCTACTAGTTCCTTTTATCAGTATCGTTTACCTGCTGATTGTCCAAGTGTTAGTTCAACCAAACCTCTTATAGAGTTGATGGAGCCTCTCGTGAGTGAAAATCCACCTTTTGAGTTTGAGAGAAAGGTTCCCTATCTGCCAAAGTTTGTGGATGTTTCTGCTAGGATGCGGCTGGTGTATATTGATATTGGGGTGGGGGAATTGCTTAATGCAAATATTAGCGATTGGTTCTTGCCATCATACCCTATTGATCAGAAGGATTTCAATGTCTATTTTGTTCACTACAACACTTCAATCTTGTTGTCCTATGTGAAGAGACCTGGTATCACATTTGTTTACCACCCTGGATTGGCTGGTAAGGTCATGCCCAAGCTTGTTGCAAATGATGACTTGGATCCTTTTCTAGGGGAGGAAGAGTTTGATTTCCTTGCTTGGTTTAAAGAAACTGTGCAATATGCTGATTTTGTGGTGCTGAAAATGAATGCAAGAAAAGTTGAACTCAAGCTCCTCTCGGATATATTTGAGAGTGGAACTATATGCTTTGTTGATGAGTTGTTTCTCAAATGTCCAGATAGGGGAGATTCAGATGATGATAAAAGTATAATCAGCAAGGAAAGGTGCATGGATATTTACAAGGGTCTTAGAAGCAATGGAATCTATGTCCATCAATGGTGGGGAGACTAAATTGCATCTGAATCTTTGGTGATTATTATGGTGTTAGAGAAATTATGTGTCCGAATAAGAATTTCTCTGTGTTTGATGCGTTTGGACTATAGTCCAAGTATTTGTGTTGTTGCATTTGTTGTCTGTCAAAAATGTAGGATGCTATGAACATCCAAGTGCTTTATGGTTGGGCGCTTAATACTAAATAAACAACCATTGTTGTTCTCGTTTGCTAATAAAATCCAAGTATTGTTGTTTAATTTATTATTTTTATGATTAGTTTTGATTTTGATGACAAATAGAGATTGGCTGGATCATCATGGCAGACAAACAGAAAGCCATAATAAATTTCATAAAGAAAGAACCAATTTTTCAGATTGGAACAATAATCATTGCCATACAATACCCATACAACTATAAATAATAGTATAAAATCAGAAGCTCTTTAATTCACTGAATCTTGTTTATAAATATTAAGGTGGGTTTATATTTTATATTAACAAAAAAATACATATAGAAACTCTCTTAAATCGAAATGGTTGTGTGGTTAATGCTTCGCTCAATTTTCAATTTCATTTTTAGAATATTAGATGTTGGATCTGAAAGCAACGTCGAAGGGCAAAAGGTATTGCGGGTCAGTTCAGTTGTATCAACTCTCAGTTACATCAGCGTAATAAACGAAGACTAGTCATAAACTTACAATTAAAGGGTCAATTATAAATTTTTAAGAGGAAGTGCCAATTTAAGGTTAAAATTTAGTATGATTTCTATGCTATGAATATTGACGAAATTTGAAATTTGGGGTATGTATGATAAAATTAACAGAAAAATTAGCTGAAAGATAAATATTTCAAAAATAAATTTGAAAATTTATTTAATTGAATTAAAAGTATTTATAGTAAAATTATAATAAATAAGGATATCAACATTTTTATAATTTAAAATTTGAAACTCGGTAATTATATATTTTTTATTTTACTCTTATTTTTTAAAAATATTGAATAAAATGAAATAATATGAATTAATTTATACTATTATTTTGATAATTTTATATTATAAAAAATAGAATTTAACTTTATAATGAAGAAAGTGTTTTTGAAAATTTTGAATGTGAAAAAGGTAAATGTAGTAGAATTTTAAATTTTCAAAAGATAAGAAATTATTTTAAAAATCAGAAATAAAAATGAAAGGAAAAAACTCTAACCGGTATCTAAAAAATAACTTCAGAAAAATATTAGTTAAAATGATATTAAAAAGTTGTTAATAACAATATATTTTAGCTACTTACGAAAATATAATTATAATTAAAATATACATTTAGTCCATATAATTGACACTTATCTATAAAATAATTTATATATTTAAAAAAAATTACATTTTAATTTATATATAAACATTTTATCACATTTTTGTAAGGATTAAATTCTTTTAAATGTAAAAATTAATTCATAAATAAGTGTTAACTATAAAAATTAAAAATATATTTTAATTAAAAATTAAAAAATAACTGGTGAACTTGTTTAAAAAAATATAAATAAATCATCAAATAAAGGAATCATAAATTTAAAAATATAAAAAATTCATATATTTAAATCAAATATTATTTATAATTTAATATCATATATATTTATTGATAAATTTTATTGATTTGAAAAATACATAAATCAATCAAATAATAATAATTATAGTTAATAAAATATTAAGAATAATTTACATATAAGAAATACTTTTTATCAAAGTTAAAAATATTTAGGCTTTTTTTATTTAATTGATAGAAAAAATAACATAAGATTAATTAATAAATTATTTTTTGATATAATAAAGTTTGTTTATTTAAATCATGATAGAAAAAGTACGAATTTATTTATGTAATACATTTGATCTTTTAAAATTTTGATTAATAATGTAATTTCACATCTCAAATATGATAAATATTTGATTTTTTATATGAAATTATTTTTAAAAAATTATAAAAATTGATATATCTTATAAAAATATAAATTTAATTAAATTTTTAATTCTTACAAAAAGTTACATAATTTAACTAAATACTTAAGTTTAAATTGTACAACTTTTTCAAAATTATAATTTATTTCTACATTTGATATATTTATAAATTAGTTCATATATTTAAAAATAAAATCTACAATTTAATCCAGTTACTTAAAAGAATTAACGTTTTAATTTCTACACAAATATTTTGTTATAATATAATTTCTTCTATCCTTATAACAACATCGACCAAAATATAATAAAACATTTGTATAAAGATTAAAATATAACTTTTTAAAATATAGAGACTAATTCATAAATATATTAATTATAAATATTAAATATATAATTTAACTTATAATCATTTTCATTGAGCAACAAGATAAACTTTTAAATTTGTTAAAAAATATTCTCAAATTCACTCTTACTATGAATCATACATGAAAAAACAATTACGAATTGACAAAATTTGAGATTTACTAATAATTTTGAATGCAAATTCATGTGGTACATGGCAAAATAATAATGGATAATTTACGGATATTGTCTAATAAACCGTTCATTCATCAATTTTCATGAAAATTATTTTTGTGCAACTGTCCATTTGTTACTTCAATATCCCATTCTAATAAATGCTGATAAATTTTAGTATACTTTATTACATGTCCCAATAATTTATATATATATATATATATATATATATATATATATATATATATATACTAGTTGCATTCCTATTATATGTTATTATTGTTTCATTTTAATTACAGTTTTAATGCTGCAAAGAGATACCTTATCTATTAACTCCTAGAATTTCTCATCAAATGCAAATATCCGGTTACCAGTAGCACTTTGCCACCGCTAATGGGGAGCATCAGCAGAAGTAGGCAACTTAAAAGGGTAGAAAACCATAAAACAAATATAGGGGACTCAATAACAGATAAGTTTCTTGCAACTGAATTTTTATATAAGATAAATATTAATCAGTGTATAAAAGATATAAAATAAAAATTGAAAAAATATTAGCATATTTTTAAATACAAATATACTTTGACTTTTAATATCATTTTAACATCTAATAATTTTTTTTTAATTTTTAACTAATATTTTCAAGACACTAATAAATAAGATCATCCTAGCAATCCTATTGGGGGGAATGGAGTGTGCTTGATGATGCTGTCAAAGTCAACCTTACCCACAACAACCTAACTCTTACCCTGAAGCAAAAACAGTAGTTATAATGTTTTCCAATTTTATACAACCGAACCAAATATAACGAAACCAGGAAATTAGCCCGTGGCCATTGCCACTGCCAGATTTCGTATTTGATGTTTTGCATGCATATCCATGACACATACTAGCAAGTCAATCCCAAAGGCATCACAAAGATTTATTCTGGATGTATCAATGCCAAATATTGATAGTTTTTAGAAACACATTTGAGTAGTTATAGACCCAAAATATTCACTCCAACACATTTTCCCAACTCATTTCCAAACACTCTGCTCTGACATCATAACCACAGGCCACAGACATGAACAAGGCCACCGGAAACAGGAAATCGAATATAAAGACAAAATGCAAACTTCCATTTTGCCAATACTGTTGCATGCTGAAAATGGGTAAATAGATGCGCCCTGGTAGGAAACCATCTATTTGGTTGCAGAAAATAGGAATTATTTCCACGTACAGATATAAGAAGCACAGAACACGCAAATAGAAAGCAAGAGGACATTGTACAGAACTCCTAGAGCATGCATTCTCTCTGCAGAACTCAATAACTACCCCTTCCATCAGGATCCTTCCCACACCCTAATGCCATGCAAGTATGGTTAGTACCCCAATTCCCTTTTCTACCCTAGCTTTAAATTCCCTTATTACACATTTTATTTCCCTTAACCCTGGGATGCCTAACATACCCACTTTATCTGCACTATATAGGAAACTTTTCCATATTACTGCCATGATAAAATATTGGTTGCGATGTTGATTCCTCTTTTAAAGTTAAAAGAAAATTAAAAAATAGCATCCCCAGTGAAACATATTTAATCATATAGAAGAGAAGCCATTTAGAAGCAAAGACAAACAAGTTCATTGAAGGCATTGTCTAATTGTCTTGTATAAGTTATGTGCAATGCCATACTGCTATTCATGTTGAACCGCAAAAGTCATACATAAATTCCATTTTCCTTCTTTGTTTTTCTGATTATTGGAAAAACCAGAAAAGTAAGGATGAAGCCAAGGAAAGAAGAAGAATACAGAGAGAAGTATTAAAGTATAACAGTTGGGCTGTACAGGAAGCTTGACGAATTAACAATGTATGAAGTCACTCCTCTGGCCCTACCTTTATCTCCAACAGCCTCTCAACCGGTTGTCTGCAAATTGGGCATCTATTTGTCTGGAACCTCAAAACCTTGGCACATCCACTACACATGCACTGCAAAAAGAAAAGAATCCAGCCAAAGTATATCAAGGACTCAGTTAAATTTGCCTAAATGATCATGACTTTTCATAGAGCCCAAGACTCTAAAAGAAGGGAGAGATTGCTAAAATTGGTTATGATATCGATGACTACCATCAGCATCGTTCAATCAATTAATAAAAGAAAAAATCATTCAGGAAGGGAAATTGCAAATACCATATGTCGGCAGGGATGGACAATTGTATCACGAGGCTCTGACAAGCAGATGACACATTCTTTTCCTTGATCATTCTCATCCAAGTCACTCTCCATTGAATTTCCAATACCATATATCTCCTGCAGCTCATACCTCATTCCATTCACCCACAAGATCTGCTTAATAACTTTCACTCGAAATTCTCCTTTCTCCTTCTCAAACACCGCTTGGGTAATCTGAGAGTTTGTGTTACCAGATGTTGGAGTTTCATTTGCCTCATCATGGTTACCAGGGGATGCATCTGCCTTTACTGCTAGAGGGTAGACATCCATGTCACCCACTTTCAGCAACTCTGACTCCTCAAAAGCTGAAAAATCAATACCAGTTCCAGCTGTCTGTCTAAACTTCTGGCCAAGACCTTCCTGGAAATGCACAGTCAGTGGTGCGATATGGTTTTCCTTCATTGGTGCAAGGACGCAGCCTTCACCTTCTTTTGCAAAGAAATATATGGTGATGCTGTTAAACAGATAGAAAGAGAAAAAAATTAGAACATGTGAATGAAGAATTGCAGTACAAAATGTCCATATTCATATTTGATGACAACTTATTTTTTTTGGTTTACTACCATACTTTTAGAATTGCAACGAACGGTAGTAGCACCATAGCCTACCAAAGTAGAACTCCAATTTGAATAAATGAAAGATATTAAGGATAGAAAAGGAAATAACTTCAAAATTAAGAAGATCATGCTAATAATTGTAAACCACCCTCACAGTACAAAAACCTAAACAATGAAACAATAGTGGAGCTACCACTTTCTCCGTTGATATGGCATTGTTCCATTCTTGAACAAAAGCCAAAATTAAAATGACATACATAACAACAACTCCAACGCTAGTTTGACAGCAATAAAAGCCTTAAGATACAAAAGGAAACTACATGATTGTTAAGCCAATGATCAGACAAAAAAACTTTGGCTTTCAAACTGACTGCCATTAGTGGCAACTATTTTTCGGAATAGTCAATTATTTTTCAACTTCTTTTAACCATCCTTATTAAGCAACGTAATATGTAAAATATAACAACTTAATAAGTGGTTTATTGAACCACCACACCCTACCCCAGCCACAAAAGATGAAAAGATTAGAAAGCTAAATGAAAAGTAAATTGTATTATTTTTGGTACAACGATGGCATTGAGGTATGAAAATAAAACCTTACGCAAACTAGTCACCACTGACCCAATCCTAGTGGCTTAAAACAAATAATTTTTACATGCAATATTCATAATCAAATGAAGATCAGTTATCACTCTGTCAACCTATAGCAGGAATGGATTTTCATGTTCATATTGATTCCCCAGATTGTCAAGGGTAATTGAACCCTATAAAGTAGATACGCAAGGATTTGTTCAACTAGTAAATCACAAAACACAACATACTCGTAAAAAAAAACTATATCTTCTCTGCTACAGAAAAATACTAGCTATCTAGAGCATCAACTTATTCAATGCAGCTGCCTTTTGTATCTACATTTTTGCTCTGAATGATGCAAACTACAGAGCTTTACATCATAAGTCTATTTTACACTTTACAATGCTAACTGGTTCTGATCACCAGACAGGAAACCATAGATCCACATGTTGGTAAGGGTAGCTTGGAAAAAAGTTACCAGGATAGCTCAGATGATTGAGCCTAACAATACAAAAATAACAGCACAAGCAAGCAAGTACCCTAGTACGCATATCAAGAACTCGAGATATATTACAAGTTAAGAAAAGGACAACAAAACCCTTGTAAAAGTCCTTTTAATATTATTCTAAAGAACCCTGTTCATAAGGATGATTGCTAATAGCTTTGTCCACTTTCTTTGTTGAATAAATAGAAACTAATTAAGTAATTAAATCCTGTAACCGCCCTCCCCCCAACAAGTAAACATCATAGCATAGATCCCCAATTTGCATCCAGCACGCCTTCATTAATATCACAATTCCCATGATAATAGCGATACACTAAACATCACAACATACACATTAACCAATTCACAACAAAACATACCTCCCAGAAACGGTAGCATCAAACGTAAACGAGACAAGGAAGTGGCCAGGGTTTTCCTCATCAGGTTCAATCCTAAGGGTTTCCTTCTTGATGTTCACATCGTTCCTTATGGTAACAGCCTTCTGATGCTCAACAAAAGGTGCCGGTTGAGGCATGGCCGGTCCACAAGGGTAACGCCCTGCAACCCATGCCGGGTCCATGTGCGGATGCTGATGATGATGGTGGTGGTGATGATTATGATGATGAGGCATCGTCACCGGAGGAGGATAGTAACCGGGGTAATGGTACTGAGGGTAATGTACGGGAGGGTTCGGGTACGGTGCAGCACCAGGGTACACAAATGGATTCGCCGTGATTTCGGGTTGCGGCGTCACCGGCGGAGGCGGAGGTGGTGGCGGATGACTCCGCCTCGTACCGCCACTATGTCGGCGACGGTGGTTGCCGCCACCGTTGCTTGAGATGTTGCCCATGAAAAAAGGGGAAAACACCGAACACAAACCCTAATTTAACCGATGATAGCCTTTTTTTGGAAATTGATTTGATTCTCCGTTCACCGGTAAGGTTTTGCTTCGCAACCTTTCGTTAAGGAAAAATCAAAACTAAAAAAAAAAAAAAAAGTGAAAAAATATGTATAAAAACAATAAAAGGAAAAGAAAAGGGAATGAATGGAAGATTTGGAGCGGAAAAGTAAAGAGGCGAAAGGGTGTAATGAAGAGTAAGAATGAATGCGTAGAGAATTGAAGAGAAGAAAGAAAAGAATAAAAGTTAATAAGTAAATACAGAAAGAGAAAGAAAAAAAGTTCTGTTAGACAGCGCGCGTAATTGGATTGCGTATATCTCTGCCAACGAAGAGAAACAGCGTTTATGAGAATGAGAAAGCAAGTTATGCAAAAACGTCCAATGCAGCTTTTTATTTTAATCTCTTCTTTCGCTTTTAATTATTTTTTTATTACTTTTTGAGCTTTTCTTCAATATTAGTAGTTAGATATAATTTACTTAAATTATTTACCTCTCTAAAGTCCACTTTGAAATTATATTATTGTTTGACAGATGCAGAATCTGCTTGCTCCACTCGGATCAAATGCATTAATAGTTTGTTACTTTTTCTCCCAAAGTGCTTAATTTATGTATTCCTATTTTAGTATTATTTTGGTACATTGTATTACAGCTGCTACCATAACACACAACCAAACCTCTATTTATTTCGATCTTCGATATATACAATGTTTAGTAGCATGTGTTTAGGTGCAGCTTGCTAAACGCATGCTTGCAACTTGTTATTGGGATTTCTTCGCTTTTGAATTGGATTTAGATTAGAGACTTTACTCAATCCACGCTTGTTCATTAAAAATGAAAAAAAAAAGGTAGACCACGGTCAAGAGAATATGATTCAACCAATATTAAATCAAATCTAATAGACTAATTTTTATTTCATATAGACTCGTGTTATCAAGTTAATATTGTTGTTATATTAAAATTTTAATGTAATGTTTTTGCTATTGTATACTATTTTATTATATTTAAAGACTTGACGTCCTACTAAAATAGCATATAATTTAGGTGGATTGATTTATTTAGAGATATGCTATTGGATATCCTAAAAAATTATCTATTTCATGTTATTAAAAAGTATATATTTCAAATAATTAAATTAAATTAAAGAAATGTAGCGAGGCTTTACAAAATTTAACTTAATATATTTTTAATTAATTAATATTTAATTTATATAATTAACACTTATTTTATAAATTAATTTTTATATATAAAAAATTTGTTTAAACTTTTATATTAATATTTGATTATGTTTCCGCGTTTCTGTCATTTTAACAATATTAAAATTATAATGTAATATAATTTTTATAAAATTGGTACTTATTTATGAATTAATTTTTTTACAAAGAAAAATTATATTTTAATTCTTAAATGCATATGCTTTGGTTGTTATTATATGTCGTCACTTTTAACACTTCTGTAACTGAAATTAAACGAGAAATTATAAAGACTAAAACATAATAAAACGTTGATATAAAATTAAAAATATTGTTAAAATACATTAGATTAATTTATAAATAAATATTAAAAGATATATTTTAACCTTTCCACCTTTACTCAACCCTTAAATTTTAGAAACAGGACAACACTGAACGTCATAAAGGTTAACCCATTTTGGCCCGTTATCCACCAAAACCAGAAGAAAAATCAAAGAAGGAAGAAGGTGGTAACGTGGAATAGTAAACAAAATAAATATCTTAAAACGGAACACAGTTCTAGTCGAAGCTTTGAAGGCTGAGCTCAAACGCAGTAACTTGTTGAGCCGAGTCTGCTTGACTTCCTCCACGTGTTCTCTTTCACATTCTTCACGCCACTTCAATCTCCAAAACCTTCACGAATCACACACCCAAATCCGTGATCCTAGGCACTTTTAAGCTTGTCTCAAGTCATGAAGATCCCTTGTTGTTTCTCAGCATCGGTCAAAGAACAAACCAAGCAAGGTATAACACATGTTGGTGTCTTTTCATACTACATTTTTTTTGGTTTGCATCATGTTAACTTCATCAAATTATGGATTGGATCTGTGCTATGTGGTAACCCAACAGAGGAACCAGAAGAACAAAAGGATCAAAATTTTCGCATATTCACTTACAGAGAATTGGATTCTGCCACGCGTGGTTTTCATCCCTCGGAAAAGGTTGGAGAAGGAGGCTTTGGCTCGGTCTATAAGGTTATATATAATTCATTATTTTCATGTGGATATACTTAATTGAGGACTGAATCTGAAAGGGGTTGTGTAAATTGTGAAGGGGCAGCTTCGGGATGGAACTTGGGTGGCTGTGAAAGTGCTTTCAATTGAACTTGAATCCTTGCAAGGAGAGAAGGAGTTTGTGGCAGAATTGACTACACTATCAAATATCAAGCACCAAAATTTAGTTATTCTTCGAGGGTGTTGTGTAGAAGGAGCTCATAGATATTTAGTCTATGATTACATGGAAAACAATAGCCTTCGTCACACTTTCTTAGGTGACATTGAGATTATTTTCTAACTAAGCTTTTGAATCAATTAGTTTATTTATTTCCAAGAAAGTTCTTGGTATATGCATGTTGAAGCTGAATGATTCTCTTTTGATTTGGTTATGGATCATGTTATGATTGATAGGTTCGGAGCAAAGCAGAATGAGATTCACTTGGGAAGCACGAAGGGACATATCCATAGGTGTGGCCAGGGTGCTTGCCTTTCTCCATGAGGAACTTAAACCTCGTATTGTGCACAGAGATATCAAATCTAGCAATGTCCTTCTTGATGATAATTTCACACCGAAAGTTTCAGACTTTGGCTTGGCCAAAATACTAAGGGATGAGAAGTCTTACATCAGTACCCAAGTTGCTGGGACATTGTGAGTGAAACTGATTCGAGTCATTGAAATTGGATCCTTTTTAATACAATGACTAATGGGGTTCTTGTAATTGGGTTTTTTTCCAAACAAACATAATTATAGGGGTTATCTTGCTCCAGAGTATGCCAGTTCTGGACACTATACCCGAAAATCAGATGTTTATAGCTTTGGAGTACTACTTTTAGAAATTGTCAGTGGTCAACAGGTGGTAGATGCTCATCAACACATGGAACGTTTCATAGTCGAGAGGGTAAGAAAATTGGAGCCAATCTATGATAAATGGTCTATACGAAATGAGGTTAACTTGTCAATATTAAATGATGTGTGAACTGTGATTGTATGAACATGTTTGCAGGCATGGGTAGCGTATGAGGCTAATGATCTTCTGAGAATGGTGGATCCAGTGCTGAATATGAACTTTGCCGAGGAAGAAGCGAAACGGTTTCTATTGGTGGGGCTGCGTTGTGTTCAAGAAACGGCCAAGCATAGGCCACGAATGTCAGAGGTTGTAGATATGTTGTTTAACAATGTTGACATGGAGAACGTTCATATTTCACAACCAGGATTTGTCAACAATCTTAGGAAAGCCAAAAACAGACAGCAGATGCATTCAGCAGAAGAATCAGGTGCTGCTGCGGCAACCTATGGAAGCTCCTCTGTATGGAGTACGGCCAATCTTGCTCGTTAGATTTACAACGATGCTTAAGGTAACGGAGTAGGATCACACCAAATCGGTCATACCATCAATTGGGATTGATCAAAGTTTTGTTACTGTTTACAATGATCATTTTTGGAAAAAAAAAACTGTAGTGCCATCTGACCTAAAGCAAGCAAAGAATGTGGCAAGGCAAAGTCTAAATTGCACAGGTCAATGAACAAAGACAGTCACTTTCCATGAAAGAAAGTACAAAGAAAAAAAATTAACATGTTTTTTATGAAAGTTTCGTGGCTGAATTGATGAGAAAATTTTGAAAGAGAGGCATAATTTTTAATCCAATAAAAATTAACATTTTTTTATATTTCTAAATACACCTCCTGTGTTAATAATTCATTTTTATTAATAATTTTTTACTCAAGAAAAACTTTTTTTGTTGTTTTTTTTTGGGGGGGGTTGGGGGGGGGGGTGTGGAGATTGCGTTTCTATCATTGTAGTTGATTCTTGAACAATTCAATGGTTAATTAAAATTATTTTCTTCATAGTTATTAAATAGCACAAATATATCAGCCCTATGGTTTAAGGTTTGTAAAATTAACCCTCCAAAAGTGAATGAGAATAAAACATCCTCGTATTTATTACAAGTTTTAAAGAAGTGTTTTAGTATTGTTAAATTTTTAAGAAAGTGAAATTAACACGTTTGCTTTATTTCCATTCTCATGATGAAGACTGCATATTTTACTTTCACGAGATGAAAAGTAATTGGATTCCCAGGTAACAAATAAGTTAAATTTTGATTTTTCCTATTTCATTTCGTCCACATTTTCCACTGTATCTCGTATTATTTCAAAATAAAGCTTCAATCTCTTGCTCGCTTTAAGATCTAGGAACTGCATTGAACAGACACATTAGAAAAGCCAAGATTTGATTTGGTAGAAGAATGTGATGACGTTTATAAAAGAATTAACCATTCATTCCACGTTTTCTTGATATACACTGATAGATTGATCCCCAGACCTCCACTGAAATGGTCATACATATAAGCATGTTTCTGAATTCTAAACTGTTTATTTAAAAAAACTTTATAATTTTTTTTTAATACATGGCAGCAGGGTACCAAGTATTATAACTAAATCAAGAATCTTATCCGCACCACAATCTAGAATCAACAATAAACACGAAATATTATTCAGCATAATTTAAGAGTTCCCAGCACCAATATGTCACCCGGAATTCTAATTCTTCACACTCGTAACATACTTCAGGAGCATGGTGACAACATCCCCGGATATTCTTGCAGCCTCAGTTTTCAAGTGATGGATCTTTGCATCAGTCTCTAGCTCAAGTCTCTTGACATTAGCACCAGAATCCCCACTACTCTGTATTCACAAGAAAGAACGCAGACAAACTCAGAATAAGATATGGTGTTAGTTAAACAGCAACATTTATTTTACTATAGTCAATCATTGACTTGCCTCTGACAGTTTCTTTTGAAACTGGTACTCCAACTGAGCTCGATATTCAGCTATCTCTTTTTCAGCCTCTTCTTTGGCCTGTTTCAGCCTAGCCAATTTTTCTAACAGTAGAGATCCAGAACAATGATACTTTAGTATACAAATAAAGAGATGACATAAGTTAGAGGAGTAACAATAAAAGAAAAGTATAAAAAAGGGGTGGGGGAGAAAGAAAATGGAGGACACAACACAAGCAAACCCATGCCCATCATAAAACCAACAACTACGTCTTACTCTTATATGTGAAAATGAAAGAACAACACAAAAGGGATAAAAAGGAGAGAAAATTCTCTTTTACATGAACTGACAATGTAAAACTATTTAATTAAAACACATAAAATAGACCAATAATTACATATGACCATGGCAAACAGGAAGAAATGAAAACTAGAATAGCAACAATACCATTTTTCGCAGCATAGACAATTCTTTGCGCTTCTTGTTCAGCAGCCAGCAACTGTTGAATTCCACCTTGACTCCTATTAGACGCCATTCTGTGATAAAATTGGTTTGTAACTATCAACATTTGGTCAAAGGAAATCACTAGAAAGTAAACATAAATCAAGTCTTTCAGCAATACAGACAAATTCTCTTGCAACAAGTCACCACTTGAATAAGAAGAATAAAAGAACCACTTTTATGTTGTAACACCAAGACCTTAATCTCAACATATTAGACAGATAATCCACAGGACAGTCCTCATCTCTCTCTAAAAGGAGGAGAAGAAAAATCATCACGCGAATTATGCTGTACAAATTCAAATTTAGACACCAGTGTATCTATTCATTTCGTTCTACCTGATTGATTCAATTTTAATATTGTACCACGCTGCTCAACTTAAATATGAAATCCTAATTTGTTTTAATTTAGTTTATTTTTGCATTTTACGACACTTATATGTTGATGAAAGCCAAAAAAAGATCAAACAAATGCATCAAAATGCCAACCCTATTCAATTGAAAGGAAACACATACGAAGAACCCATCATGATTAATTGATCATATCCATCCATCAGTTAAAAAATAATTCACAACGCCATGTCCAACAGAATCAGAATATTCATAAAGAATGAAGAGTTTGCAATAGTAATACCAACAGTCTAAGCAGTGCATTCGATCTCACGCAGAGAAACAAATTGAAGAGTTAACTGTGTGAAGAAAGCCCTAGTAAAACGTAAGATGAAAAATGAGAATAAGAATTGACGAGTCGAGGATAGTAGGAGAGCATATGAAATCCTAAAACGGTTGCATTGGCATGGAAATCGTAGATCTGAAGCATTAGAGAGAGAGAGAGGAGAAGGTACCGTACCTATCGGGTGTTAGATTCAGAGAGAGAGTTGGGAGAAAACTTTGGAGGACCCTTTTGCTGATTTGGTTTCCGTCTTCGCCCAATCAACACGAGTACACAACCCACCTCATTTTTAAAAAATATTAATTAGTTTTATTTTTTATGCATAGTTTAATAGTTTAATTGATAGTTAAATGTTTAATGTTGGAATACAGAGTAAAATTAAAAGACAAAATTTAAGTACCCTAAAATTACTTTTAAATTAAAAGTAAACTATTTTAAATAATATTACGAAAACAAATTTTGTAAAAATAAACGAGCGCAATGCCATCTTACCAGATTATCCTAATTCAAAGTCCACAATTATTCAACGTTGTGATTTGTGATTGTTCAAGTTAAGAATCCATTCTCACGCGCTAAGATTATCAATTTAACTCGAAATTAAAGTGATTGCGGCGTCGAGTGTTTTTTCAAATTTATTTTTTCATGGAATTTTCTCTAATTTTAAATAAATTAAAAATTATCTCTGAACAAATTAATTTTACAAGGTAACGTTGTGTTTGTAATTTTAGGAAATTTTCGCCCACTGCATTGTTCACCTACTTAAAAAAATTAATACTTATGTTTGTTTCTATTTTTAAAAATATTTTTTCTTTTTTAAAACAAAAAACATATATATTTTGTATTTTAAAAAATCGTTTTAAAAACGGAAATTTTCCTTTACAGCTTTTTTTTTGCTAAACCTTTACATCATGCATACATATATATATATATATATATATATATATATATATATATATATATAAACTTAATAAATGTAAACCACATGATATAATCTTAATAATCATAAATATAAAATTTTAAATAAAAAAGTTCGAAGATATACAGTTTCATTATTGTTTTATTTTAAAAATTAATTGCATGTTAAAATGGTTAGCTAAACAAATTAAACATTAACTAAATTTTAAAAAAATATAAACTTAATACATTTAATAAAAGTTTTAAACATAACAATAGATTAAACTGATAAATGTAATGCCCACATATCAACAAAATAAGAAATAATAAATATATAATACTTTTTAAAAAAATATATATAATATTTACTAAATATATTTCATTCCACCTAAGGTAATAAGCCAGCCTAGATTACCCACAAAACTCATTTAGAGTTAGTCTTGCCTAGTTTAATTTTTGAAAATGGGCTAAAAATTTAGTCTCAGCCGTTTAAGAATGTATAAAAAATTAACAAAAATAAAAAGTAAGTTAGCAAGTTAACTGTCTAGAATAATATTAAAAAAATTTAAAATAATAGGATTCATAAAAAAATATAAATATTATTAAAATAATGTTTTTTTTATCAATAATATATATATATATATATATATATATATATATATATATATATTAATAAAAAGTTTGATAAATCAGCCTCATCCTGTCATTGACTCTCATTGAAAGGCTTGGCACAACAACAGATGTAAAAATTGAGCCCACTCTCACCCTTTTTGGTCTGGAGCTTAATCCTTCATCCACAGAAGTGGCCAGAAAAAAGAAAGCTCCCCAACCCAACAAAAAATCTTTGCATTTTGACCCAATTATAGCATACGGATAGAGCTAAATTCAGCCCAACATAAAATCCACTTGAGAGGTAAACAAACAGAGACGAAGAGAGTAAAATAACTACTGAAGTGCTAATTAAACCGTACATATATTAGAAATATTATAACTGGTTTTCTAACACGTGTTTAAGGACATAATTAAAAAACTGTATGTAATAAATTTTAAATTAAAATTATATAATACTATTAAATTTTCTATACTAATAAACTTCTTTGTGGATATTTGATATTGTTATATGGAGTAACATGCACCGATGTTGTCACAACTCTCAATGAAAATTCACGGAGAGAAGCAGTAGCTTCATTTTTGGGAAATTGTTATTATCGTCCCTGCTTCTCATAATTTCATGTCATTCATATGCAGAAATTTGTTGTCTCCAGCGAAATGCCAAAACAGTGAAAGTATCTACACTGGTTTTTTTATATGTCAGCAAGTGTCTTTCCAGAATTATTTTAAACTTGTTTAATGGGTTCCAACCCATACCGTGAATAAGTTCAACGTCACACTCGAGGACCTTCGTTACACAATAGTCTTAAGGAGAAACCATTCACCTCTTATTTTCTGTCTCCATCATCGCATCTTCAACTCCCTACATACAAAGTTTCTTTCTAATGGGCATCGTGAGTTTATAACAATATTTAATCAACTATTTAATAAAAAAATATTTATGAAGGCATGCTACATCGTTAACCAAAATAGCTAGCTCAGTTGAAAAAGAAAATAATATATATAGAGGACCCGCCCCGAATCCTTTGATAGTATATAATAAAGATGCAACAAATAGTCGCAATCGCATGACTCTTTGGTTAAAGGGAGCATTCATAACTTGCATGAATGAAACGTTTTGTTTTATTGAAGGCTAAACGAAATGGACGAAACTAAAATTGTCCCTTGCAGAATGCAGATACTTACTGTTGTGTACTATCTATCAGCTCTATCTTAAATAATGGCAGAAAGGGCCACAGGAAGCAGCTTTGGTGCTTGAGAAAGACGATGTGTCCTTTTCCACCCCTTTTCAAACTCTGCAGCCACATTTTTCATCTTTTCCTCCCCCATTCTCTCCTCTTAATTTCATATTCGATTCTTTTAATTCTTTTTCATTTCCATAAATCAGATATCTACCTAAAGCTTACCTTAAGTAAGGATCAACATAAGAAATTCAAAAGAGAAAAAGAATATGGATAGAATTTTAAAAATAATAATCAACGTATATTATTTAGATGCATTAAGATAACAAAGAATTTTCTCATTGCCTATTTCAAGTTGAGGAGAGCGATAAAAATAATATTACATGAAAAATTTTGTATACTAGCTAAAAATTATATTTAATCCAAAATTTTCTATTATATTAATTTTTTCTTTGGCATGATATTTATTTTTGTTATAAAAAAACATATATATATATATATATATATATATATATATTTAAATGAGGCCCTCCTCCATCTTTGCCCGATTGAGGAAGAGGTATTTTTGTTTAAATATGTTTTTTACTCTTATATTTTTCTGAACTCTTAATTTTAGGCCATCTATTTTATTTTATTCTCTAATTTATTTTAGTTTATTACTTTTAGTCCTATACGATAACTTAACTTCACAAAAAGTTAACACACGATAATCGTTTTTAGTTAATCATATTATTATGAGGACTAAAAATATTAAATTTAGATAATTAAAGACTACAATTAAATTAAAATCTCATTAAAATGTACCAATTTAAAACATATTTAATTTTGTGTGTGTGTGTGAGTGAGTCTCGTAGAAGAACTTTTTCTTATTTTGTTCTAACAAATATTTTTTATTCATTCTATGATTCTATCTCTCTCCCAACTATTTCCGTTAATTTAAACATAACATCACTATTTTTATCATTATATATACGACATATAAAGATGATTTTGTCTAAGTTATTTTAAAGACTAAATAATTTAACCGTAAATAGATTAATAAGATTTTATATCTAAAAAATTAAACAATAGAACTTTTAGAATAATATCTTAACTTTATTAATGTAGTTGAAATAAAATGATATTTCTGACGAAAGAACTTAAAGAAACCATATGAAGACAAGTATTTTGATGATTTGGTTTGGCGGTGCTTTTCTAATATCATTGCATTAATTTGTAGTTTTGCAAATTTGGTTTCAAACTATTTCCCCACCTCAGCCTCGTAATAAACACACATTCTCTTATGGACTTTGGTCCCCCACATCCTTTTCATAATTGCGTAACAAGGAAAGAGATCATCCATGGCCCATAAATATCAGCACAGGACCACACCACCCTTCATTTCACAGCACAAAAATTAAACTACCATGGACCACTTCGTTGTACAGTGCCCACACCAGTAGATAAATCCATTAAATGCGACGAGATTAAAATAGACACAACACAAGGATGTTACTCTTAGAAAACTCCTCAATACTCGTGATCCCAACATCTCAAGATATCATTCCAAATTTTCCAAATAAAATGAAACGAAATAAAGTTAAACGACATGAATCGACAAGAAAAATAGGAAAACCAAAGGACAGTATTGACGCACATTTAAGATAGAGGATCATGTAATGTAAACACATAAAAATACATACACAAATTAACATGGACATGTCTGTTGAGATATTACTGCAAATAGTAATTAAAAATAAATACACGGTGCTGAGGATATACAAATTCCAATCCACCATGTATAATAAGATCAAATGTTCAAACCTCTCCCTCTCTCCTAGCTAGCTCAGGTGGAATCACAGGTTAGAGGAACTCCTGAAAGATCCCAGAGCCTTAGCCGCTTGAGCTCTCAACACAGACTGGTGGTAGAATGCAGCAAGAGCAGCACCGATGAAGGGTCCAACCCAAAAGATCCACTAAACACAATTTTCAAAACCCAATTAATTCATTTCAAATCTTCTATACATATAATACAAGCAAGATAAGATTAACAGAAAGCTGCATTGTGCATGTATATATCTATATATATACCTGGTCATCCCATGCCTTCTCACTGTTGTATATAACAGCAGCACCAAGGCTTCTAGCAGGGTTGATGCCAGTGCCAGTGATAGGGATGGTGGCGAGGTGAACCATGAACACCGCAAACCCAATTGGAAGTGGTGCCAACACCTACATATATAAAAACAAAAATTAAATTATCATAATAAAAAAACAAAAAGTAGAAAAAAAAATTTTTTTTGAATAATTAACATACGGGAACATGGGAATCTCTGGCGACTCTCTTGGGATCGGTGGCAGAGAAGACAGTGTAGACAAGAACAAAGGTGCCAATAATCTCAGCGCCCAAGCCAGTGCCTTTGCTGTAGCCTGCAGAGAGCATGTTAGCACCACCTTTATACCTGTTGTAGTAACTCTTCTGAAAGCCCTTCACCAACCCAACACCACAAATGGCACCCAAGCACTGAGCCACCATGTACAAAATTGCTCTCACCAGCGACACCTTCCTCGCCAGAAACAACCCAAACGTCACGGCCGGGTTTATGTGACCCCCTGCTCACATCACATTCTAATTATTCACTTATAACAAAAAATTAGTTATATTAATAACGTCTAATAACTGGAGAGGAATCAAGTAAGAAAGAGTAAGTGAGAAATTGAAATGAAAACAATGATTGGGAACCAGATATGCCGGCGGTGCAGTAAACGAGGACGAAAATCATGCCTCCGAAGGCCCAAGCGATACCGAGGATGCCAACACCGTTGCAGGGGTTGGTGCCGTCGGTCTGCTGATTGTAACCGATGACGGTGAGGATGGTGACGTAGAGGAAGAGGAGGGTGGCGACGAACTCGGCGATGAGGGCTCTGTAGAAGGACCACTTGGAGAGTTCGGTGGCGTCGAAGAATGGGGTGGGAGGAGGGTCGTGGTAGTCTTTGTGTGCCAACCCACTCTCTGCCGCAATTTCCATATCTTTTGCCATCTTAGACTCGAAGCTGTGCTCTTTTGCTGCGATAGTCTTCACAACCAGACGGACTCAAGTAACGCTATATATAACCCACTTCTCATGTCGGCGTTCAGTTCAACTCATGTTTCATGCTTAATTTCACTTTTTTTTATTATTTTATATTTATATAATATATATTGGATAGTACTAAATGAGAGGATTTTTTTACGTAAGAATGGAAAAAAGTAAATTTTGTGATCTTCAGTTTGGAAAAAAAATTAATTTTTTATTAAAAATATATGTAGTTTAGATTAAATAAATAAATATATTTTAATTATCAAATTTCATCATATAATATTTTAAAAATATGTAATTTTTTAACATTTTAATATTGATAATTTGTATTTAGTTATATAATTTTAACTGTTTTCACTTTCATTAAAAAAATTCTTTTCGTTAGATACATTTTTTTCACTCTGTTAAGATTTTTTAAAAACAAATTAAATGTATAAAAAATCATATAAATTAAAATTTAATTAATAACTCATCCGATTAATATATTTTTAAAATATAAACAAATCTTAATTATAAAATCATATATTCATAAATATATAAGTTATATTAATAATATCATATATTATACAAACAAACAATTTTATCAGAGTACAATATTAATATATATTATTAATACCCAAATATTAGTATAATACTTTTTTATTAGAATAAGTTTTCAAAATTAGTATTAATAATTTAATTTTTGTTACACAAAGACTTAACAGAAGATAATAAATTTTCTATATTATTGGTTGGAAGTGAAATAATAGTTACCCTTACTTTTAACTCGTGTCAACTTTTAAAGACATCAAATTTTACTGTAAAAAAAACATATAAATAGAGTCAAGGTTAAAATTTTAGATACAAAGGCATAGACAGATTTAACTAAATAAGAATAAATTTAACTTGGTAACATGAAGAGGAAGAAGAAGGAACCAACGAAATGCATGGACGATGATGCTGTGTGTGAATAATGACACTATCCAGCTCACAGCCTCCCGTTATTTCCTCTTACACATGCCAGACAAAGGACGTATTTCAAAATTCATAAGAAATATAAAAAATAAATAAAAGGGAGATATTTTCCGACTTACCAGTAAATAACACCTCTAAATATATATATATATCCACAATTTTAAATAAAAACAACTATAAATAATCGTATTTTGTTTTACTTACTAACCAAACAAAAAACAGTGCATATTCCCATAAGAAAATTGACCACTAGATGTTGACTAGTACGGCTAAAAAGTTCATCCACCTTACTGTGCCTAGTTTAAGCTTACTAGGAGCCTTTCCCAGGTTTTTTTATTTTATATAAGACATTTAAAAATAATATATATTAAAATATAAGTTTTTTAAAAAATTCAAAAATATTAAAAATAATTAATAATGTTTTTTATGTAAATAAAAAAATTTAAGTATAGAACAATTAAAAATTACAATATACAAATTGGTTATTAACAAAATTTTAAAAAATTTCAAAAATAAAAAATTGTTATTCACAAATTTTCAAAAATGATAAAATAATTAAGATATCAAGATGATTTTTGAAATTTTTAAATTTTTTAAAATATTAATATTTTATTTTTTCCGTACAAAAGAGAGCCTCTTTCCCAATCTTCACATGGTTAATAGATAAAACTTTTTTGAAGGATGATGGGTACATAATAATAAGGAGAATATGGTGATCACAGCTTAATATACAACTTCTCACCAGAATGTTAAAAAAAAGAGTACAAAATTAGAATATCTCTCAATTTTTAAGTAAACTTTTTAAAAACTTTCCATTCTACCTATATTTGTTTTAATTTTATCAAAGGATAATTCTTTAGCAACGGATTATAGGCTCAGTTAAAATTTATATAACATGGTCTATTAATAAATTGGTTAACATTATAACTTTTACGTAGGAGAAGGGTTAACACCTTTTAACGGAATCTTTTTTCTCTTCTGAATAACGAATGTAACACGAGTGGAAGAATAAATAAATAAGTAATAAATATAAAAATTTAAGTATTGTTTCGTTTCCAAGTTTATTAATAAAATATTCTTAGGAATGTCTTATAATATAAAAATTAAATAAAAAAAGAGAAGCATGATCCTATCTTCTACCCATTATAATATTCGTTTGAATATGACATGTGTTGCCCATGTGGCACCAAACAATAATTGGTAAAACAAATCGTTCCTATCTTCTACCCATGGTTGTCATTAACACCAAAATTCTTTTATTATTATCAAAATTGCAGCACACGTGCTTCGAACAAGATTTTGAATACTGCAGAGAGCAAAATAATATAACATAGTTTATATATATAATAAACTGGTTAACATGGACGTATGGATCTACATCACTTGACATTTGTTTATAACTTCTGCTAGCAGTTTTATGAAATATGTTTTTCACTTTCCCGAGTCTCCAACTAAAGATCTCTTTGATCGATAGGAATGTCTTATACCTTAGTGGATCTAATATTAAAAAAGACAGGTAACATGATCAGACAATGCATTTGGATATGACATGTGTTGCACATGTGGCACCAAATATATGAATTCTGATGGTTGTAAAAGGTAAAAGGTAAAAGGTAAAAGGAAATTGTTCCTACTTCTTCAGAACTTGGCTGGGAACAAGAAAACAGGCATAAGGATGAGTGTAGTATTGGACCTGTATTTTCTGGCCCATATTGATTCGACTAGAAAGAGCTAAGGGCTACCTGTAATTACACGGAATGTTCTCAGGTAGACCCAAGAAAACAAAGGCCCATTCATATTTGCCTTTATTACGATAAAGCAAACTAGTGATACATATTTTAATAATGCCGTAAAAACACAGTTCTCTCACTTTCTCTGTTAGAAGTAACAACAAAGATATATGTCAATAAAAAACTTATTCTAAGCATACAAGAGAAATTAAAATTATAAACGTAAAAGTAAGTCACACAAACAAAAAACTTCATTAAATATACAAAATTAATAATACTAATAGTCACACAAACAACAAAGCGACGAAGCTTAACAAAGAAAACCAAGAAAACGAAAAAACTTAAAAAAGAACAAAACTCACCCAAACTTCTTCTCTTCTCTCTTGCTGGTTGTTATTTTCTCTCTAACAAAATATTTCTTTCTTGACCAAATTAGACCTATCTTTATTTATCAAGTAAAACATAAAATAGACTTCTCAATTTTATGTCTTTCTTTACATATAAAGGGAGTTGAATATTCAATAAAATTATTTTAATACTTAATAACTTTTATTTATTAATATTTTTTTTATCGTCTGCTGCAAATTACAATTTTTCTTTTTTCTTTTCGATGTAAAGGTTTCTGCCCAGAGAGCGCCATTTAAAAATGAAAACTATAACACCCTCGTAAAAAAGAAAAACGCGCACACACAAAGATTATATTTAATTGAAGTATATATATATATATTTACAAATGTACAAAGTTGTTGCGAACTCGTGATGAAGTTGGAATTCACAACCTTGAAAACATGCTTGACGTTTACATATTTAGTTTACCATTACTGCATTCCTGCAAACGTAAATGCCCCCGGTTGGACGCGATCCTGATGCATTAGGGGACCACCGACCAAATGGATACATGCATGCGTGTATTTCCATTGATGCAATCGATGAATATCCAACGTCACAAACCTTAAAATTAATTAAGGGACATCAAATTAATTAATCGTAATTATCATAGCTGATGATCATCTTCATATTCCTCCGCAGTTTCTTCTGTGATTGTCTCCAAAGCAGGTGTATTAGAAGGTTTCGTCGGCAAAATTATAGGTGCCGGAGCAACCTCCATCCAGGAACTTAGGTCTCTGATTCCCTTAGCCATTGATGTATTTTGATAATATCAAAATTGATATATATAACACCCCACCTCAATCTCAATATCGAGTCTTAGCAAAATGGGAATATTTTCTCTCCTCCTCCTATGTCTAGAAAGAAGAGAGATTGAGATATTTATTGTTTTCAAAAGGGTTCCTGTTTCTGAGAGAAAATCAAATGAAAATCAGGTTTTTTTTTTTTTTTTCTTTTTGGGTATGTGTATGCCTATTGCCAAAGCTCTTACGAGTATATATACAAGGAGTGGCACCTTGGAATCAGGAGACGAAGTTAATCAGTAGGAGATATTTGTAGAAGACGACATAAATAGAAGGCATAGAGTTACACGTGGAGAAACGACAGGCTCTTCGGAAAGTTCGTTTATGACAACATTAAAAATCTACTTTAAGGAAAATTTCAGGAATTGTGGGGGAAATACTGCAACCGCAAACGTGTACATAGAATTATTTCACGGTCGGCTGCTAAAACCCCTCAAACGAATTGCCTGTTTCAGAGGCAAAAGATGTCAGCAACTCCTCAATTTTCTCTCCTCCGTGAAATATTTTTCTTGGTTCAATTGTTGACAATTGGGCATAGCTTCTAGAATATACTCCAATATATCAGAGAAATAGAAAGGATTGGAATTCCTATAGACATGGAGAAAATCAGAAGATGTTGTCAATATGATTAAAAATATTGACACTATTATTATATTTTTACTAAATTTATTTTTTTGGGTACAATTATTTAAGCATAGTATTATATATTCCTTAGGAAATACTTTTTCGTTTTGTAAAATATAAGGCACTCAATACTCTTTTACCAACCGGTCTCATGTATCGAAAGCACAACAAAGACACAAGTCCCAACTGCGACGATATTCATAACAATGCCACTCAATATCTTAGGACACGTATATTCCATAGTGACCAGAAACAAAAAAATCTTAGGTCAATTATTTGAGATTTGGATCAGAAATCGATAACATTGCGTAGGTAGTGATACCACTGAGTTTTTTTTCTTTGTTTTCTTGTGGTCCCTATTGGGCTCATTCAAAAGATTTGTACTTCGGCCCTATTACTTAAGCCCATAAATTGGTTTGGACACAAACTATTGACTATGACCCAAAGTAACTACAACTTAGTTACTCGTACTTGACCAGTTATCTACAAGCACTGTATTCAAACCCATTGACCCAAGACAGAAAAAGAGCGATTCATATTTATGGTTCACCA